ATTTCAATTTTAAGTTTATGAAGTTTTAAATTTTTATCAAAAATCACGTGAAATTATAAAAAATATTGTTCTTTTATCATCTTTAAAAAAAAGGTAATTAGTTAAAAAAGTAGTGATAAATATTCTATAGCTCTTGTCATTTACGAGATAAATGCGAAAAAACGTAAATTTCATNGGCACTTTTGTAGAGCATTTAATGCTGAGAAAATCCCCATTTTGGACAAGGTGATACCATTAAATGCCGCTGAGCTATAGAAATTAAAAAAAAAAAAATCAAAGTTCCCGTGTATTTTAAATGGAAAATCTTCACACGCCTTGGCCGAGTACTTAAAATTAATATTAAGGGCTCAAACTTTCAGGGAATTTTTTTTGGGGTATTTCCAACAAAATTTCACGATGGGACCGAAAAAAAAAAAATAGTCGCAAAAAAAAAGCACCCTAATGTACATGGTACATATATATGAAAAATAAATGTATTATACACGAAACAATAAGTTTTTCTAACGAAATCTGTTAACCTTCCCAATTAGATCGGCAACCAATTTTTTTACCTGAATACTCTTGCCACCAGCAGAACTACCCACCCGGGCACAGGGTGTTTCGCCGCCCAAGGTGTACTTGGGCCGGGGATATTCAGAACCTATGGGAAAAGCATTGCGTTTTGGCAGGCTGAAACTTATACTATAGAAAGTTGCGCGGACTTCAATATCAAGCGAAAGTACCGGACTGAGAATATTGCGATCTTGACCGACATCCTACTACGGCTACTAAAGCCTCAGATCTCATCAGGTAGCATCTAAACTGGTGTTGGTTACTATAGACTGAACGCTCTTGGTCTGACCAATCGAGTTTAGATCTTCTGAGTTCCGCGGTTCACTGGTATGACAGGAATTTTTTTGTCGCATTCACGGGGCTGAGGACCAATATGCTTCGTTCTATTGCTGAAATAATGGTAAATCGTTAAAGTTAACTGCATGCTCAGAAAGTTGTTCATGTCGAGGTAAACAGTATTTTTCAAGGTTTTTTCCATCAGAATTCAGCCTTAATTGTATGTACCAACCCTTAGGAGACTATGAAATGGTTTTCCCTAAAAATTTAAACCTCTTATTAATGTTCAATTACTGTCAAGCCGGATGTCTAAGGGTTCTTCAATCAGTCAGTCGAGAGCTCTTGACTTTACTTATACTCATATACATACATACATACATATCACTTTACTTTCCTTTAGTGACGAAGTGGCCTCTATTCTTGCCAACATATTTACATACTCGTATATAAATTCTATTGTCAATTTCTTTTGATTTGCCAACGTTTTGTTTACAAATATATATATATTAGGGCAGCCCAAAAATGCACGTGAAAAAAGTAAGGTCCGAATTTTCATGCTCCCACCCGCTAGAATGGTTCTGTATCGGTAAAATATACCCCTGTCTTTTTTCAAAATCAAAACATATTTAAAGGTTGCTCAAAACTCTTCATTTAGGTTCATTTATTTTATACTAGCACGTATATATATGTATACATAACCCTTGCCTTGCGCTATATTCCGTACGAATGAACAGCTGAGGGCGCCTTCATTTGTGGTTTGCAGGTGAGCAGCGCTGTTACGTGGGTATATATGTGAGATTCTATAGGATTTTTAAAGTCGTGCAGTTCCATTTTTAAGAAGTATTTAAACCTTTTTTTTGCCTAAGACAATGAGAAGCCCATCCACAACGGTTAACCAAAATTTCAAAAGAAACGGTACAGCCGATCTCGAGCTTTGCGAAGAAAAAAAAAACGGCTTTCAAAATACATATATATTAGCACTAGCAGACCCGGCGAACTTGAGTATTATTATTGGAAGTCTCCTGAGAGTTTTACGATCGAAAAATACTGATTTTCAAGAATTATATAACATTTGTAGGAGAAATAGTTTTTTTTTCTTCATATAAAATACGTGGAAAACTTTGAGCGCCGTGCAGCTCAGCAAAATAGCAACACTGATCCTAGAGGGTAAGAGCATTAAAATTCCGACTTTATTTTTTGTATACCACCCTAATATGCGATGGTCGCAGCAAGCAAATATGTACCCGTGTGGCTTGTGTATATGGGCCAGATTGACAGGCAGAAATTACCAAATAGAAAAGAGCAAATCAAATATTTATTTATAGTGGGTATATTTCCATACAAAATTTTACTCTTAAGCCATCGCTCTTAGTACAATTAGTAACTATTTTCATTTGTTATGCATCATTTTTATTTGCAGTTGCTCACAAGTAATTGACATTGTACGCGAACTGGAGGAGAAGCAGTAGAAGCCTTTGGTGGCGCTTTAAGCGCACTTAGCGCTTCGCAATCTATCAACCCACCTCTACGTATTGCAGAAGAGCCTCTTGTGTTTGCGCAGACTTTTAGCACCTTAGTTGCCGTAGCCACCGTCACGACCGTCGCGTGCTACCAGCTACGCGGCTGGGCAATGCAAACATGGATCATGCGGTGAAAGCGACACGTGGCCGACCATGGAATACGCTGCGCTTCGAGAACGACGAACTGGAATGCCTCTATCAACGTTACACGCTCAAATTGCAGCGCTTTTCGGTGCTGGGCGTGGTTGCGTTGGTGGTGGTGTTGTGCGGTGTCATGGCGGCGCTGTCATTGGCCTACAATAATGCGCCCACCTTTCATGTGAGTAACATAAATGAAATTCAAATGAATGTATTGTTTGTATTATAGACAGGCATAAAGGAGCAAGAAATAATTTTGTAATCCTCAATTACGTCCCTTTTTTATGCTTACTTTTTCATTTTACATACATACATATAAGCTCGAGTTTATGCATATGTATATTTACTTAACCCTTTTAATCTTGTTTAATGTCATTTATGTATTTTCCCATTCGTCTTTCGTGTCACCCACAGAATATTTTCAACTCCATTGTGTGCCTGCTATTTGCAATTATCCTAATTCTGCTGCAATGTCGCGTCATCAAGGATCATCACCTGCCAATTCTATGCTATGGTATACTGCTCTTTGCCGCTGTCATCTGTTTTGTTTCGATGCCAACACTGGGCAGTGTATTTCCTGTGGACACAAAGGAGGTGAGCAACCATATAGTACAAAGCGGAGGAAAAATTAAGATAGAAAACAAACAAAAAATTTAAATTGTCATACCTTTTTCCCCAAATTTAATTTGGTCAATGGCGTTTTGACTATTTCTACTTTTATTTCACTTTACAGAAAGAGTCCGAGGTAATGATATATATCTTTTTAAAGCGAAAGTTATTGACTTGTAATGGCTTCAGCTTTTGTTTACTTGTTGATGCTATTGCTAGCTTAATTTGCCTTAAACAAAATTTCAACAAGTAATTAATATTTGTCTAAGGATTAGTAATAAAATACTTATGTATACATAATTTCAAATAAATCAAACGGTAGTGCCTTTTTATGCAAGTCGAATTTTAGAGCTCGATGTCTTGTTTTGGGCATACTTTTTTTAGTAAGTAATAAATAAACCTAATTTGTAGTATTTATGTATAATTCTGTATGTAACGCCAGTAACTCTCATTTTTGCAAAAGGGGTCGATTCAAAAGCAATTAATATTACGGTGTATTAAAATTAAGAAAATGTCACAAACGCTCTAAGAGGCCTAGTATAGGCAGTGGGCCTGTTAAGAACACTATGTTTCAAATTTTTACAACACCTTGAAATTCTTAACTTATTCATAAGAGAACATTTTCCCTTCACAATTTTTTACCGCTTTAACATTTAAGCGATTATTGCCAACTCCAACAAAAGTTACGAGAATTAAGTCTCAGACCAATTCTAACTTCAGAAAATATTTTTGTGAAAATCGCTGATAGCAGGTTTTGAGTATAAGCCCTCGATATGAAAACTTTCAATTATGTACATATATGTGTATAGGGGCAAATCTTAATTTTTTTAATTTGTGAGCACAGCTATGTTTTTTGCTCCTGTTTTCGAGATAACGGTACTTGCAAATTTTGTTAATTTTTAACAATTTTATTAATAACTCCCTCAGTTTTAAAGTCATTTTACTAAAATTTTGCACACAACTGTTATGCTCATTCAGATTAGGGATGCGGCGAATGTGAAATTTTAGACATCCGCGGATGCGAATGAGGATGCGGATGTTTAAAAGCTAACATCCGCGGATGCGGATGCGAATGCGGATGTCAAGTATTTTTAAGAAATAATTTAGGTGGGTAAATTAGGTGATTTAGGTAAATAAAAAATGGAAAGGTTAATAATTTTTAATAATCTGCCTTATCCTGAGTTTTGCCCGAAAAACAATTCACCCGAAAATTTGTATTCCGCCCATAGTAAAAATGTACATGAAAACCAAAATTGAAAAGTGAACCGGTTCAGGGAAAATTAAACTCATGATAAGACTGGATACTTTTTAATACTTTAATTTAAAAATTGGGACAGCACTTCATAAAAACTTTTTGAAGGGTCGTAATTCAAACCTACGCCACTATATAACGCTCGAGGCGACAAACTTGAAAAACTTGAAACTTGGCAAAATTGTAAATTCTTTTCGATTGAAACTGCACCAGTTGAGAGGGCTTTCAGTTATATTTATTTATTTTTATTGCGGTGCAATAATTACTTTTTGAGAATTTCATCGGGGCTGCAAATTTCGGATGTATCCTCCTGACTTTCATCTTCACAATCTAGCATCATGGCGCAATCATTGTTTAAACACCGTTTTTTTCGAAAGAATTCTTCATTCTCATTCTTGTGGTTGTTTTGGAATTTGGCATGTCGTCAACTAACTTTTAATGCTTTCTTCTATGACTGGTTAGATATACGTCTGTACGCTTGCACAATATTCCAGGGATTGAAAATAACAGTTATTTTTTCCGAGTTAAATTTGGCCTAATATTTTTTTTTCCGAAATAAACGTCCTATCCGGATAATAAAGAAACCGCTATCCAAATAAAACAAATTTGATATCATATGAAAGAGAACTGAAATAGCTTTTAAACAGAAATAACGAATAAAGGTTACCACCTATATTTATATTTTTTTATAACTTAATACTAAAGAAATTCATGTTTGTTCTATGGTAATTGACATTTTTTATTGAAATATTTTTCAATAAGTGGCTTTCCTCGGCCGCTGTGGTGTAGTGGTAAGCAGTGCGCGCTTTCACTCACCAGCACCTGGGTTCAAACCCTGGTCAAAGCAACATCGCAAAAACTATAGAAAAAAATTTGTTTCTTAACAGCGGTCGTCCCTCGGCAGGCAATTGCAAACCTCCGAGTGTATTTCTGCCATGAAAAACAGCTTTTCATAAGAATGCAATCGCCGTTCGGAGTCGGCGTAAAACTCTAGGTCCCTTCGCTTTGGGTGACAACATCAAGGCGCACGCTACAAGTCGGAGGAGAAGCTCGGCCAAACACTAACATATGTGTAAGCGCCAATCGATNGAATGCAATCGCCGTTCGGAGTCGGCGTAAAACTCTAGGTCCCTTCGCTTTGGGTGACAACATCAAGGCGCACGCTACAAGTCGGAGGAGAAGCTCGGCCAAACACTAACATATGTGTAAGCGCCAATCGATTATTATAAGTGGCTTTCCTCTTTTAGCCATTTCAGTTTTAAAGCTATTTAAGTGCTCTTTCATTGGATACCAAACTTGTTTAATTTGGATAAGCGGTATGTTTATTATCTGGAAAGTACTTTTATTTCGGAATAAAAAATATTTGGCCAAGTTTAACTCGTAAAAAAAATAACTGCAATTTTCGGTCCCTTCAATATTCGATTTGCAAAAGATCCGCACTGATATTTGCGAATTCGAAAGCGAATGCGAATGTCAAAATTAATGCGGAAGCTCCGCGGTTGCGAATGCGAATGCGAACATTCGCAACAACCTTGATTCAGATATGTGGTTCAAACACAAGTTTTGAGGTCAAATGCACCGCCATTACTTTAAACTCAATTTTCTACTTTTTTGTTGTTTCGAAGAAGTACTGCTTCATACCTTCCCGTATACGGTTGACATTTTTTTAATTTTAACTTTTTGTGTCAAAAAAATTAAAATAAGCGTCCGAACGTAACGAACCTCAAGAAACAAAAAAGTTTTTTCTAATAGCGGTCGCCCATCGGCAGGCAATGCAAACCTCTGAGTGTATTTCTGCCATGAAAAATAGCTACTCATATTATGAGACTCATAAAAATACAATCACCGTTCGGAGTCGGCGTTAAACTGTAGGTCCCTCCCCTTTGTGTGACAACATCAAGGTGCACGCCACAAACCGGAGGAAAAGCTCGGCCAAACACCAACATATATTGTATGGAAAACGTATGAAACACCTTCAACAAAAAAAAATCTCAAAAATCTATGGGCTTTATCATAGGTTTAATTTTCCCCGAACCGCTCACTTTTCACTCTTAATTTCTATGGTTTTACTATGGGCGCGTGACAAATTTTCGGGTGAACTTTTTTTCAGGCGAAACTCAAGATGAGGCAGATTGACAATGAAAAAATGTGTAATTTCGGTACTTTTTCGCCAAAAGGGTAAAGTTGTTCAAATACTTGATTAATTTTTTATTTTTCTTGTTTCTGTAACTCCAAACTTCATACAAATACAAAAAATGCAAATATAAATGCAAGAGGAAGACTAAAAAGTTTTTTTTTTTTTTTGGCGAGAGAAAGGAGTGATGCTCAAAATAAATGCTCGTAAGATTTGCTCATATACATATATACCTATTGCGCTTATCATGACTATACGTCATTCACATATTGACAAGATTTGACCTTTTATTTTAAATATTACTTTTTAATTTAAATTATTTGTTTATAAAAACATAAAAAATTCTTTAACAAAAACCGTATAAATCCAAGTTTCAATCTGCGTGGAGTATTTAGTGTAAGATCCGAATAGGGTACGACCTTCACCCATCTGTTTAATGGATGAAATCTATTTTGTATGAAATTTAACGAGTCAGTAAATATTTCGTGAGTAATTTGGCTGAAAAAATCATAATCAGGGCATTTTTAATTAAATGTTCAAAAATTATTAGAACGGTTCACTCTTTGATGCGAAAATGCGGAAGGCAAAAATTAGAGTTTGTTTCGTTGCTTTGCTGTGCGTTTGTGCAAACCGGCGCCATAACGGTGCCATATGTTTGTTGTAAATTGGTGGATTGGTATATATGTATTTTAGGTGTGCAGTTTTATAGTCCATTCAATTTTAGTAAAATGAAGTGTAGTGATTTCCACTAAGCATTAAATGACAAAAATGACAAATGACAAAGTCATGGCATGTTAACATTTGACAAATAAACGTGTCATTACATTAAAAAAATTGTCAGTAAGTTCATTTCCACATGGCATTTTTTTGATTGGCATACGCTTTTTGCCATTTCAATGCCTTGTGGAAATTCGGAATTACCGTTGATTATTAGTATTTTTTTCTTTCAGATCCTGCTCAATTTCTTCATATAAGAAATCGGGGAATATACATACATACATAGTAAGAAGAAAATAACTGACATCGTCAACAAAACAAAATACCAAAAATCAACGACAAGTACTAGCTTCAAACTTAGTAGGCATTTTTCGATAGAAAAAAACGGCATTACACTTTATTATAACTACTAAAATTGTATACTCGAAATATTAAAACTCGTCGTTTTTATGAAAGTTTGTTGATTTTTTTAAATGTGGATTTTCACGGCTTTTGTTAGAAGGCAAACTATATTTTTATAAGCAAATAATTAAAACTAAAAAGTAATAAAATAAATAGTCAGTTTTTCTCAATAATTGAGTGTTGTAAAGTTATGATAAGTACTATATACAAATGTATGTAACTATTAGCTGAATTTTCATTTGTACAATTTTGTTGAGCTTATACCCCAACGCCACCTATACCTAGTCGAATTAATGGTTATCATTATTGCCCACTAGAGATAGGCGTAGGATATCGGGACCCTCGGAACCCACCATACTGATTTCAAATTGGCCGGGTTGGGCAGTATCGGAAAGGTCTGTAAAAATTTTACGGGCGGGATGACGGAACCAAAATCCTTTCCCGACACTTCCGATAAAAACTCAGCCTCTGCACATTCAGAAAATCTTCCTTTACAACGATGTAAGGAATATGCACTTTTTTATATTTTATTGAGACGATGATGAACAGCAAAGGAACACAAAATAACCGGAAGATGCCCGTCCTTTCATAATTTTTTTTATAATTTGAAAGACATGCGAATTCTTCGTAGTGTCAGATTTCAGGGACCGCGGTTAAATTTTGAAAAATGTCGCGATGGGGCAAAATATTTGCAAACTTCCAGAAAGTTATACTCAAAGAGCTGCGTGCGAGTGCATAACGGAGATAGCAGCCGATATTCGTGACTCGATCTTATCGGTACAGAGCGTTAGCAAGAATGTTTTCGGGATAAGGCGTGTTCTGCATTTTTTGCAAAACAGAATCATTTTGCTTTCGATATATATTCGTGTTAACTATATGCTTTTTTAAGCATAGATTTATAAATATGACTGAGAAATAAACCAATAACCATGCCCAAACCACAAAGGCCACGAAAAATTCGATTAAAAAATAAGATTCTCTTAACTGATCTCCCGTGTTTGCTGAAAGTAATATCCTCCCTTATCTTCACAAATATCAATCAATCGAAGTAAAGCGTGTAACTTACTAAAATTCAGAATATGGGAGGGCAAGAATTATCCCCGTGAATAATTGGCTCACCGGCATTTTTTTTAGTTCTGGTCACCCCTTTTGCTCTTCTGTGGCTCGTAATTAATTAAAACTAATTTACGTATTTATATGCACATATGTATCTCGTTATGCCAGTACATGCGAACTTATAAATATAACTTTTCCTCACTTACTTTCTTATTTGCAGGTCATGGCCGAAGGTGTGTGGCAAATTGTTTTTGTTGTCTTTTTGGCATACGCCATGATGCCACTACAAATATGGGAAGCAGTTTGCTTTGGTATTGTTTTGCCCTCAGTGCATATTAGTTTAACGGTGTACAAAATTATTACGGATTCATTTCGTTACTTGGAATATAATCAGGTAAAGCTATACATTTTTATATTATTTTATTTGATAGGAAAATTCGATAGTCGTATGTTAGTTAGATACTACTCGAAGCACTGAAATAAATACTTATTTAGGTATAAGAAAGAACACAACACATAAATATACATATAAATATTTCTTTCTTTTGATCTCATTTATCGAAGTACGTACTTAGCACCAAGGCCCATCCATATAAGGTGCTGTCAATTGCATATAAGTAAAAATCCCCAGTAGTTTGTTATTGCTTTTTGGTATTTCAGGATGTCAAAACGAAAGAAAATAGGAGTTAATTTTTGCCATTTCGTTTTGTTGACATCCTAAAGTTACACCATTTCGTCTTGGATGACATTCTCTTCTACTAGTGTAGAGACAAAAATATCTAATCAGCTGTTCTAGTAAGATGACCTTGTATAGATGCGCCTTGCTTAGCACTCCTTTTTAATTAAAAACTCTAAAATTTCAACAACATTCTACTCCTGCACCAACAGCTTATTGCCAACATTGTAATGTTTATCGGTGTTAATGTTGCCGGTTTGGTCGTAAATATTATGATGGAACGTGCCCAACGACGTGCATTCCTAGATACACGCAATTGTATTGCCGCCCGCTTGGAAATTCAGGATGAAAATGAGAAACTGGAAAGACTTTTGTTGTCGGTTCTACCTCAGCATGTTGCGATGCAAATGAAAAATGACATACTCTCACCTGTTGCTGGTCAATTTCACCGAATTTACATACAAAAACACGAGAATGTGAGGTAAGTACAAATATACATACATACATACATACATAAATGGGAATCGTATAGGAGCAAATCTCACAAGTCGTTACATTTTCCGGCAAAAACGCATTTTTGGTCGAAAATGGCGGTACACCTTTCTTAGAAAATGCATTATCTTCAGTTTTGTATAAAGAACAAGATTCCATCGCGAAATTGTATTTTAATAAAACTTAAGAAAGATATACCTACATACTAAAAAAATTAAAAACAACTACTCATGTTCATAAACCCGTAGCAGTGCTGCCGAAACTACTACTATTGGAGTTTTTTACTACGAGTTTGTCATTCATACTCCCGTTCTCCCCAAGGACAGATTATACTACTATTTAGCGAGATAGTTTATTTTTGTTATTAAAATGTATAAAGTAACTCAAACGATTTCACATTAAACGCTGCCAGAGCACATTGCTGCGAATGATTTCCTATAACACTTTTCCTTTCAGGTTGTGATAAAAGTTTCTAAAGCCATATTACAGCATTATTTAAAACTTACAACTGACGTAATGAATTTATATTGGTAAAGGCTATTTTGTTGGTCCGCACATACAACGCGTGCTATATTACGAACACATATATAGATACTGCAATTTCGGAGGTGGTCCCGAAGTTGATTCATCTCCTTTAAGACAGGAAAGGCAAATAAGGCTGCTATGTATTCCAACCGCATTCAACGGTTTGTGCCTCAGGAAGTGACCACTTAGAAATTCGCATAGATGTCTGCTATTATACTTGCTTAATGAAGCATCCCATCGAAGCTTCCCAATCATCACTGAGTGGTATAACTATATGCGGGATTTCTTAGCCCGTTTGGTAAAAATTTCCTAAGCCATATACAACTGGCGGGGGGAGCGCTCAAATATTTTCGGGCCAGATCTGTCATATTTTAGTTTAGTTTTCTACCAATTGAGAGGATAATCACCGAGATGAGCCCGTTTTCCTTTAAAATAGGCCTTCAATTGAGCTTTATTTTCACATTTTTTAATGTCTCCAGATTCTACATTCGAACCTTCGCTTTCGCTGGAGGAATACTTGTTGAAGGCCCATCAATGTTGCTTGATATACTACTTAACCGTTTAGCGCCTGAAGCTAAAAGCCGTTTGTTGCCGCCACTGCCTAAAATATATTATATTATACTATAATAAGCTAGTACTTTCATTTTTATCGATAAATTAAATTAATCGAGTCGTAAGACGAGTGCTATAATGGCGCCAATTGATTCGCCAATTGTAATTTAGATAGTTCGTGCATCATGTAGCTCAAAAGCAATTACATAATCAAGATCTCGTCACACGTCCTGGTTTGCAAACCTTAAAGTATGTAAAATTTTACGATGTCATATTCCGCCAATTAATTAAATTTAAGTTTATATCCATTATTAAAGTGGTCCAAAAATGTATGCGAAAAAATAAGGTCGGATTTTTAATGCCGCAACCCGCTAGGATTTTTCTATACCAAAAAAAATATAACCCTATTTTTTCATTTTGATATAAAAAAACAAGTAAGAGAAGCGCTGTCTTCGGCTATGCCGAAGGCTTCATACCTTTCATGAGCATCTGAAAATTTTACTTTAACAGATTACTGAATTTGAAAAAATGTATATATTCACAGCAGGCATAGATAGAGGAGATACATATATAAAAAATCATATCTACACAATCAGAGGTATGGAGATATACCTTATATTGCACCAATCTAAGTGATTTTCACTGCTGTGTGATCGGTACGTAAACCGGTAACACAACTTAATGGGTTTAGCTTCCTACATAAAGGAGATATATCGCAAAGACTGGTATCTGAACAATCAGTGGTACAAAAGATAAAGCTCATACAGCATAAATTTTGACGATTTTCTCAGTATTATTATTTATAAAATAGCATAAGAAATTTATCGGTTTTAGCTGTCCAAATAAAGGAGTTTTACAGTGAAATCCCATATCTGAACAATCAGTTGTATGGGGGCAATAAACAGGTTATAGTGACCCGATCTTTGTTAATTTTACTGTAAACTTTCTGTTGATAATGAGTGAAAAAAGTGCGAAATTTCATGTTTCTAGCTGCATAGATGGAGTAGTTATAACAAAAAATCGCATATCTGAACAATCAGTTGTATGGGAGCTATATGTAAAAGTGACCCGATCTTTGTTATTTTCATTGTATATTCTGTTGTTAATGGGTGGAAGTATTGCAAAATTTTATGATCCTAGGTGCATAAATGGAGGAGTTATAACGAAAATTCTCATTACTGAACAATCAGTTGTATGGGAGATATATGTTATAGGGGCCTGATCTTTGTTATTTTCACTGTATTCTGTTAATAATAAGTGAAAACGGTACGAAGTTTTATGTTCCTAACGGGTGATTTTTTTGAGGTTAGGATTTTCATGCATTAGTATTTGACAGATCACGTGGGATTTCAGACATGGTGTCAAAGAGAAAGATGCTCAGTATGCTTTNTTCTGGTACTGACAAACATCGGACCAAAGTTATAATACCATTTCATGCTCAGGAAAGGTATAAAAAAAAAGAAATGAGAACAAAACTGTCGAAAACAATCTCAATGGGAATTATATAAGATCAAAGCCCTGTGGAACGTTCCCAAAGAGAACAAAATCCGTACAATACTTCAAGGAACTTTTCTAAGAGAAAAAATGGGAACAATAGTCTCCGGAACATTTTGGCAAAGAACAAAACGGAAACAAAAGTTTAAAGAACTTTCTGACAGAGAACGAGATGGGAACAGATCTTCCCTGAACTATTCGCGAAGAATGGAAGCAACAAATTAAAATTAATCAAAAAAGAACTCAACGAAAGACTTATGGCACAAACTTTTTTTTTTTTTTTTTTTTTTTTTTTTTTTTTTTTTTTTTTTTTTTTTNTACAAAATTAAAAAAATGGACAGTTCTCCCTAATGACAAACGATCCGGAAGTTGAAATGCTCTAGCGTTTCTCTGGCTTGGAATTAATAAACGTGGTTCTCACTGAGACGCTTTTTAATCCCGGCACGAAGACGCCCCTCTTATTCTTAACGTTAAGTACTCAAAACTTTTGTTCTCGATTTGTTATCTAGCTGAACGTTCCCCAGACTTGTTTTCTTAATTTTCCTCCTTGAAAACGTTATCGATACTTTCGTTAATACTTCTTTGTTCTCATTGGAAACGTCGCCGAGAGTTTTGTTCGCTTTTCTTATTTACGGAAGCGTACCCGAACCGTTTTTTCTCATTTTATTCCCGTTCAAACTGCTTTCAATACTTTTTTTCCCGTTTGTCTCTTTTGTGGGAATGTTTTTGACATAAAATTGTGTTCTCGTGCAGAACTAAACCAAAACTGGAACGTGTTCTCCGTGGTATCTGAAATATGACCACTTTTGGTATAACTACCTTTAGACGGTTGTACCTTTTCATCTCGTAAATGTATTTCAGCAGTAAAAAAAATTATTTAAGAATACAATTTCGAGTAAACCCTCTCTAAAATTATTCAAAAATATATTTCTGTATGTGGTACGAACCTTGATTTGAATATACGAACATTGAGAGGTTTGGACTTACCTGAAAAGAAAAAAGAAAAAAAAAATTAATTTCAGTAGGGTTATCTTAAAATCATATTTTACTTAAAATTCATAAAGTAGAGTTACTTGAGAAAGCCATTCAAAAGATAATTTCTATAAGCCAAATACGAACCATGTACAGTAAAACGGTGTTCACATGAGGCGATTTTCCAGGCCTTTTTTAGTTGAATCAAAAGTTAGCTGGGCCCCAATTTAATTGGAAGCGATTAGTTGAAAAGCCGTTCAAACCAGGCGATTGTTGCTTTCAACTAAAAGTTGGCTGTAAAATCGCCTCATGTAAACATCGTTCAATGAAATGAAGAAAAATCTGCAGTTTTCACCCAATTGCCACTCTTTACGCAGGAGAAGTTGGTGGAAATCCTCCAGAAGCGACAAAAGGCAAGCCAAAGATGAAACCGTGCGTGGGAATGGTACTTGATGGAGTTGCCAGTACCAGTTTGAATCTTTGGTTTTGCTTGTGAGTGATTTCGACTGAGGATCCTCATCCCATCAGAATGGGTACTTGTACGTCACTACTGGAAAAGTATTCGGAGGAAGTGGTGTTAGTAACGCAGAGAGACGCCACGATGAAGGTGTTGCTTTTGTAAAAAAAAAATCCGCTGTTCTTTATGGCCACGTACTTGGGGCTTACACAACTCAATTTCGGGGAGACAATATCAATACATTCATACTTTTTTTACTAACATATTCACAATTCTCTCATTCTTTTCGTCTCTGTCTTTGATTTTTCCTAAGACAGTTTAATGTGCCACAATACATATTCTCAATTGTCTTGTCTTAAGTAAACGCAAGGTTATTCAATTGCACTGCATTGCTGGACTTAAAGCTCTGTTAGTCGAGACTTAATATTCGTAACTTAATTTAACTTATTATTTGGGCCAACCGGCTTGTTAAAACTTAGCTTATCGTAAGAAACTTAAGAACCTGTAGGTTTTAGATTCTTAAGTCACGGCCTTACGGAAATTGAGAGCGGTGAAAGAATCAAGCTTGCCAGATTTTCATTTTTGCACTTCTGAAAAATAAAGTAACGTAAACATATTTTTTGTATGCATTTTTTTGATGTAGCATTTTAGACGACAAACCGTCAAACAGCTGAAAAAGAAAACACAAAAACAAAATAATTCCGCTTTGGCTTAAGTTGACTTGTTGAGTAATCATTGATGATTTCTTACGGTAAGCAGGATAAAGTACCTCCTGGTAACATAAAAAGGGCCCACGCATTTCAAGACACACGTCACTGTTGGCAGAGTTACAACTTAGAAGAAGTGATGAACTTTGTCTACCTAAGATCCAGCATAAACACCACCAACAACGTCAGCCTGGATATCAAGCGAAGAATAACTCTAACCAACAGGCGCTACTTTAAGGATCGGTAGGCAATTGGAAAACAGAGTCCTCTCTCGACGAACCAAAATGACGCAGAAACGTGGACGATGCCGAAAAAAGATGAGAAGGCTTTGGGTGCTTTAGAGAGTCTTTGGGCCTGTTCGCGTGGACAAAGGGTATCAAAGAAGATGAAAGACGAACTACATAAATGAGCTTTTTAGCTACATGGACTTCAGTGAAAATATCCTCCGACTCGACACCGATGGATGGACAACGAAAGCAAGAGCGCGCACAAACAAAATGGAAGGACCAAGTGCAGAAGTAACTGCCTGCACTCGGTATGTATTTAATTCATTTTATATAATCACTCTTGGTACCTTGACATTGAAGAAGGTTATACCGGAAAGAAAAAAAATACAATATTTTCTAAAATTCTTTAACGCTTTTACGAACCTTTTTTGAATACATAACCTAACAGCGATAATGAAAGCAAGAAATTAGCTATAAGTTACGCTAAAAGTAAAAAATTTTTAAAAATTTAAATAAAATTAAATGAAAATCTCTACTCCGTAGCAGAAAAGCCACAGATGATATTTCTCCTAGGCACTCCGCCGCTACAATTCATTGCTAATGTCAAATAATTTACTTCAACCTTTGGTCATGGATGCCATAAAAGTGTTGGCGGTTTGCTGCTGGTTGTTGCCCGATGGCTGGCTGTTGGCTGTTGGCTGTTGGCTGTCTGCGTACGAACATAACTGTAAATGCATAAAATGTGGCAACCAAATACCAACCAACAACTGCAGCCGCAGCAGCATAAACTACAAATATGTGCTGGTACTCGCTGCCAGACAGACGCGAATCAATGGTGCATTAAAAATGGAGAAAATCCAGTATTGCTATTTACAAGAAAAACTTAGCAAAACAACAACAAAAACAATACTCGTAAATCGAACATCAACAACAAAAAGTGGCAACTGACTATGAATGTGCCATTAGCAGCAAAAAAGCTTTCGTGTATACACCCATAAGCGTGCATTGAATATACATACATACATATTGCATTAATATACCTGTAGGTGTATATGTATGTATGTATGTGTGTGTGTGCCCAACAAACCACAACAATGCAATTTAATAGTTAAAGTATTTTTACTTGAGGTTGTCGCACCGCTGCAGTGCTGCTGCGGTCACAACAGCGCAATGATGCTGATGCTGGGCTAGCGTTGGTTGGCTTAGCTGTGGGGTAGATTTTGTTGGCAAATGGCATTGGTAACTTTGTAAGTAGCAACAGCAATCAAATGAAGGTAGCAGCCAGCAAAAACAGTCTGATTGCATGGCTAAGCCGCAAGTAAAAAGTGAAGAAAGCCAAAAGTTAAACGGAAGAAAAAATTTCAAGAAATATTTATTGTCACTAGCGGCAGCCACATACACATAACACTCAAATAGACGCACTTTTTTTTTAGTAGCAATTTTTGTTGGTTGGTAGTTGCTACTACTGGATACGGCAATTGGTATTGCGCACCCGCATGAGGTCGTAAGTATTTGTTCGACATTCGTAAGTGAGCTGGGTTGCCACAATAGTGTAAAATATGTATGTAGGTAGTGTAAATAAAAGATTTTTTTAATAATTTTTTTTTTCGATCAAAAGTTATCGTTAAATTTGGATTTTTATTTTTTGGTCACACTTAATCGTTATTTTGTAATTTTCGATAAAAAATTATCGGTATTTCGAATTTTTTATTTTTATTTTATTCGATAATTTTTAATCGTTATAAAGAAGACTGTGTTTTAGGACCGATTTAATTAAATCTTTTATGACCTAAAAAATGAAACTTAAAAAATGGTTATATCATCGAAAATTTGACAATCAAAAATTGATCGAAAAATAAAAAACAAAATATGACGATTCTTTTGATAGAAAAATACAACTCATAAAATAGCGGTTAAATTTGACCGAAAAAAATACATGCAATTTTAACGGTCAAATTATGATTTTTATTATAAAGATCATAACCGTTACGGTCTTTGTTTTAATCTCAAATAAATTTTTACCAAAGAAACCCTATAATTTCTGCATTTTACTTTTAAAGCATCGATAAAAAAATCCTTCATTTGTGGTTCTTTGTGTTCAGAGAAATGTTTTGAGAGTTTTCCAAATCTTTCGGCAATTATTGGAAGTTTTCGGTATTTTCGATATTTTCTGGTATCTTTAAGATTTTTTCGGGAAGTCTAGGGATTTTTTGTGATACTAAGGACTTTTGGGATTCTTATATCGAAATGTTCATCTCTTTTAATTATTTGGAACTTTTCGGAATTTTTTTTGGAGAGTTTGTGTGTTTTAGATATTTTTCAGGACTTTCTTTTGGAACTTTTGCAGACCCTTCATAGACCTTTCGGAAATCCTTGTGAGGCTTTGCGTTTTCTTCTAAGACATTTCGGGATTTTATGTGACTTCGCCTGTTACCCGAACATTTTCTAGGGATCATTGGGAATTTTCTCGACTCTTCGGTTTTTTTTTTTTTGTTGTCTACGTTTGTTAATCTAGACTTTGTTTTTGTTTTTGTGGAAAATTTTCTGGGATTATGAAGGATTTTTTTAGAATTTTTCCGCTTTCATGACTATTTGAGGCATTTTGAGACTTTTTGGAAAATTTTCTTTTTAATTATTTTCTTAAAAAAAGTGTAATGTCAGGATAATAATTTTAGTTTTCATAAAATTTCATGCTGCCTTTATTACTAATATTTATTATTTTTCTACAACACAGTTAAAATATTCGCTGCTTTTTTTGACCTGCAAATTCAATGAAAGAGTTTGAAAATCTCATTAAATTAAATCACTTTTGTCACTGCAGCAGTCACACTGCAAGTTGACAACTTTCAATATTACAAATGTTGAAAGCGAAGACATTGTACTCGTGGAAATGAAAGAATTCAGCAATAATGAGTGAACATAAAGTTGTCGAGTAAATAACAATTTAAAGAAAATTGCTTTTGTATTTCATGTTTTTGTTTCCTCCTATATTCTTAGAAAAAATTTTGATCGCAAAAGATAACTGCAAAAGTTGAAAACTATGCGAAACTTTAGAAAATTGCGCAAATCACAATAAAGTTAGTTATCTCGAGTCAGAAAGCGTAGAAAGTTGACCACGTATTTAATCAGGAGTGAAAATTATATGGAAAGTTATTGAAACACTGATTCGGCAGAATTTTTTGGTAGTTTTAGTAGTGATAGCGGTAATTTCACGACGCCAACTTGTGTTGTCTTTGAAATTAATTACACTGTTGGACAATGAAAGTGCTAATTGAATTGCGTATTTGAAGTAAGACAGGAACACAAATTACAAATATAGAAAACTGAATTTTTACTTTTTCTTTCTGACGACAGGATTTTTTTTTAAGTACTTTGAAATTTGGAAAATTTTATTAATTGAATTCAGTGCAATGCAGAAAAAGATTATGGGTATCAAATTAAAAAGAAACAAGGCATTGAAAATGTCCTTTAAAAAATTTATCCGTGAATAACCTTGAAATTTTGCAGAACTTATTTTTGAAAAAAAATATGTTTATTATGTACTAATATACGCTCGACCACATCCTCGAAAATTTTTAAACTACATTGCACTGTATTTTTCAAATATTTTTTTGAATTAGTCATATTTTTCGAATTTAAAAACCTTCAAAAAGGTTTATGATGGCGAAATTTGTTTTAGAGAAGTTTATGACTTCAAAAGCAAAAGCCTAAACAAAGTGAACCTTAAGTTTTAATACACAATTAAAACAAATCGCAAAATCAATTTCTTATAAAAAATGGAAAAATTTAGGTGTATAAAATGCAATCGAAATTCCATTTACTGCACTTGACACAGCCGAATTAACAAACTAAACAAAAAGCTAAAGCGCAGTCCTATCAATCCATAGACGGTCGCATCAATTTACACTTCACTACATCTGAATAGAGTGAAGCGCTTGACTGCGCTTAAATGCAAACTCTGCATACATATGTATGTATGTATGTATGTATGCACACTAGGGTGATCCAAAAACAGTAAAGTCGGAATTGTAATGCTCTCACACCCCCCGCCCCCCTCCCCCCCCTTCACCCTCTCTGAAAAAAGTATACCCCTATTTTTTTTGTTATTTTGAAATCAAAAATTTTTAGAGTACGCTCAAAATTTTACGTAGAAATGGTAGAGAATTCTTGAAAATCAATATTTTTCGATCGGAAAACTCTGTTTCTCTTCAAGATACTTTCAATAATAATACCCAATTGTTTATTTAACCATTATAATCCTAAAATAATAAAAATTCCGACTTTACTTTTTTTACATGCATTTTTGGACCACCCTAATTCACACATACTAATGTGATTGATGCAAGTCAAATGTTTTTGGCGGCCGCAATGTAAAAAAGAAAAAATTTAAGACTTGTTTGCATTCCTCGTTTTTAAATAGAGAGTGCAGAAAAAGATCAGAAGGGCAAAAAAAAAATTAATTAAAGGAGACTTTGTTTGCAATTAAGGCAACGAAATCGTTAAAATCGCTAAAAAAAAAAACCTCGTTGCATACGTTTTCACTCATAAATGACAAGTTCAAAGGGCCAGCTGAAGCTGTGTTTCAATAAGTACATATGCCAATATGTATGCTCGTTTGTGCTATAGTTACGGTGACCATAAATATGGATTCAAAATGAAGGACAATTTTTCAAAAATATGCCTACATATATTTACGTAGTATAAAAATATCAAAAGAGTATTTATGATTCTAAATTCTTAATACATTTTAAACTTTAAAAACGAATCACGTTTTCTTCATCGATATTAATCTTTTTTTACATGAATATTTATAAAAGTATAGTAAAACATATTATAATTACAATAGCTTACACGAAAAGTGAAAATCTTTAAAAGATTGTTTTATAGGCAAATTTTGAGTCGTTCAAAACGAAAACAATACCATTTTTTTTGTTTTTTGTACTTTTCGCAGTTATTTGTCAAAAATCGACGTCATGAATCGACGTAAACGACGAGTTACAAAGGTATTTATGTGCCCTTTACAAAGATATATAATTTGTGCAGATTGCACTTCATTGCATTTACATTTATAATCCGATTTTCATTATCTCTGGCTCAAAATTTACTGTAATGATATATCTTCTTTATCGAATTTTTAAACTAATGAAAAAAATAATCAAATAAAACTGCGTATTTGATTGAAAATCTCACTTTTTTCGACTTTGACGACAAAATGCAAATGGTCGCCTGTAGCACTAATAATTTTCATTGAAGTCGCCACAAGTTATATATTTTGGTAAGAGGCACATCAATACCCTTCGAGATGTAAGTCGCTTACGTTGATTGGGAGATTTTTTCATGAGATATTGAAGAAAAGCTACGAAAAGTACCAAGAAACACTTTTTTGAAAAAATCCATCCATTGTCCGATAATTTTAAAATAACGGATAAAATGCGGGACAAATGCAGGACACTTGGAAAAAAGCAGTACATTTTCAGGTTTTTCAGGTTTGGAAAACTACGCAGGACCGACCTTTGAAAAACAGTACGGTCCTGCAAAAAACAGAACGGATGGTCACCGTAGCTATAATAGAGCGGTACAGAGGCTGTATATGAAAGAATGAATGGTTGAAATTGGATTGAAAATACATTTTTCTTCGGTAAAGATAAAATGCGACGAAATTGGTAAAAAAAAATTTTGAGAATTTCATTGACAATGCGCTTTTAATTGCGATATAAAAGGGCAACGAAAATTTGGAGACTTTTCATGGCTGGCAGTAGATGCAATTGCCATTAGAAAAACTTTTTGTATACCGATGGGATCGCGCACCCAACCTGAGTATTAATAACAAAAATAATATTTTGGCGCTTAACTACACTTTTGCTTCTCCACTTTGTATTGTGTGTACTGTCGTTATAGCAGAAATGGAAGGACTTACAATTTTACGCCGCCGCCGAACGAAAAATGAGCATATAAGAAGCCTTTTGCAGTCAGAAATACATTCGGAGGTTTACCATTGCCTGCCGCGGAACGATCGAGGCTAGAAAAGCTTTTATCAGATCCTACGGAGTGGAAGGCCGCCCCACTAACTGCGCAAATATAACGGCCGTCTAAACCTAAGTATTATAGTCCCTTGGTTACAGGGACCGGAAGATTATTTGTTCAAAATATTGTCCAAAAAGCACTATGCTTTCCTTCTTATTACCTTAAACTTTCTAAGTAGGATATATAATTACATATATGTATGTATGTATGTATAAATGTATAATTACAAACACATCATAGCATTAAAGAAAATTATCTTGTATGTATGTACATCAAACAAATTTTAAGTTCCGCACTCATAACTCCAAGCATTATTTATGCAGTATTAACGTCAACTTAATAGACTTTTTGACGGTAAGTTTCAAAAATATTGCATACATAATAAAAGTAGGGGCAGCCAAACACAAATAAATCAAAAGTAAAATGAGCGCTGCCTGGCAAAGACACGAAAAGTGTGGACAGCACAAAAAGAAGTTAAGCAGGAAACGAAAAAGAAAAATATTTGCTCTGCGCCTAAAAGTACGCTACGTAAATGCAGCACAAGCTGACAGAAAGATGCTTGACACATACAAATGGGTGAGAGCGCGTAAGCAAATGTGTACCCTGGTGGAAAGTGCTTGCGATAAAATGAAATTTTCACACAACAAAAAAAAAAAAAAAATTTTGGGCTTTTTTGAGGGACGTAGAAGTCCAGAAAAATTGTTTAGAAGTCAGGAAGTGCCTCGTTCTACTGAGGAAGCAGATATCACTCTGTCTTATATCTGTACTTTTATTCGGCAAATAACGATCGAATTATACCAAGCAAGTAAAAAACGATGGAGCGATTACAGAGCCACATAAGAAGCAGAAGAAGAATGATACGGAAAAAATAACGTAAATGTACATTTGGGTACATCAATGCTCACAAAAAAAAAAAAAAAAAATCGGTACTATTTTTCCTTAGAATTGTAAAACTTAATATATTTTAAGACTTCCCCCAGAATATGTCGAAGAAATATTAAGATTTACGCGAGCCCGGCCGAAATCGAGTTTTTTTAAATAAGTAAAATTAGTTTTAAAAATATTTTTCTCACGAAATTATATCAGATGATAGAAAAGTGTAAGCCCAAAAGGTCTACATACATTTTTTTTTTTTAATTTTATCAACAAAATCAAAACATTAAGATTTTTGATGCTATTTTCAAATGGGTCCAGCTCATGTAAATCTTAACGTTTTGCCGAAATATTTTGTCGGAAGTTTTGGAATATAATACAATTTATAATCGGTGGGAAACTTTCAACTTTCTTGGTGAGGCACCCTAATACACTTACAAATTTATCCCTCGTTTGCTGGAAGAACGTTGTAAGTCAAAAGCTCAAATGTGAGAAAAACAAAGTTGGGGATTCAAATGAGGTTCTTCCTTTTGAACAAAAATAAATAATAACTAAAGAAATATAACAAGTAGTATCGTAACATTTAATCGATTGAACAAATGTGTCTTTAAACCTTAATGATGTTTGATACTTTGGCCAATGAGTAATCCTTTTCTAATTATAAATGCTAGGCATAGTAGAAAAAGTAAAATTGCTTGAAGGGCGAATTATCTTTTTTTGAGGCAAAATTGACAGATATCCGGCCTTTTTTTTTACACAGCCAAAAAGAAGAGCTGCCGGCGGTTTTTGCTTAAATAACTCAACATGTTTTTTCTCTTTTTATTAAGACTTTTTTTCAGCAACTTACGTACGATGTATATGCTTAAGATGATCACTTGTCAACGTAGCTTTACTTTTTGCTTTAAGATGCGCCTTTTTTTCTAGCAAACTGCCAGTTCGTGGTTCCTATTTTATGTGAAAGCACTTTTGTACGTTTGCCAGACACATTTTGGCAGTTTGTCAGAAAAGTGGGTGTACTCATACAACTGCACGCGTGCAAAGCGTATATGTGGGTGAATACGACGTATAAAGTCTATGAAAAAGTACTCGTAATTTTTATTGTCACCGGTCGTTTGTGACTTTTTGTTGACAATCTTTGCTTGGCGGAAAAGTTTTTCATTTTAAGTTGGTTATCTTAAGTAGGCATTGGCAGACAGGCTGTAGACGGTGTTAAGATGACAAAAACAAGAAATGCATAAAAATACAAGTTTGATGCTTTGGGGTTGGGGAAAAGTCGTTATCGTAATAATTTTAAGGTGAACTTGAAAGGAAAAACATACAAGGCAAGGTTGAAATTCAAAGACGTTAGTGAAGCGATGAGATAAAAAGACAATTTATGCTAAAATAAATATTTAATTTTATGAATCCCGCCTATAAAATCAGAACAATGCTTTATTGAACAATTATGTTAACAATTTGTATGTACTTAAAAATTTAGTAAATTAGTTGGTTCTTAACCAACTTTTATTTTCGAAGCATGCATTGCTTACTAAACACACAAAGAATTGAATCCGATAGCGAAATGATTAAGACCGGTCTAATTGCCTCTTGATCACTAAAAACACCTCCTAAACAATGATTGTTTAATTTGATGCCATTGAATTTTCTAATCGGGAGTGTAATTTGAAATTTAATAACCTTTTCGGAAACACCAAATGCGGAAGCGTGAGACATCGTAATCTTTAGGATATGTATGTACAGTGACTCAAACAAATGACTACGAGTTGACTTTTTTTTAATTCGTAATGTTTTTCGAGCTAAATTGTTTTGTTATTTTCTATAGAAATGCCGTCCAAGATTTACCCAGAAATATATAAAACACAGTTGCAAACTATATACATATAAAATTTAGGAAAATTCATGCAAAACTTTGAGCGCTTCGATCAACTTCTAAATATTTTTTAAATTAAAATTTCCGACTTTACTTTTTTTTGGACCACCCTAAAGTACATTTCCATTTCTTGCTAGATACACACACATACTTATGAAGTTCCTACCGTGGTCTTAATATTCAACAATTTCAAACATTAGTCATAACTTTTCATGTGTAGCCTAAATGTATGCAACGCGTAATAATACTGCAGCTCTTCTACCGCAGCATATCTACCACAAGAATTTTATGCTAAATGCTTTTTGGTTGCTACTTTTCTTTTACCTTCTGCTAGCGTCAGTAAGGGCTGGAAAACATTGGTATTTTGCCAAAAAAAATCACATATTTTAAGTATGCAGGAGATCATAATGAGAAAAAATTAAACGAAAAACGGACATGAAAAACAGAAAAAATATGTGAGGTTGTTCTCAACAATATTCCTTCTTTTTGGATTTAAAATACAGATGGCACGTTAAATACCTTAACTCATTAGTATGTATTTCCTTTGTATAGAAAAATGTGAAATTACTTAAAATACTCAAGTACAGAGCAGTTTAAAAATTACAACTAAAAGCCACCCGATATCTAGATTAAATATACTATAATTGGTATACCCCGGAATTCCAAGATCTTTCATACATAAATATGAACAAATTATTTTTTTTTTCTACTCACATTTGTTGACAGTTGACTGCTCAAGCTCAGCACCTGTTCACGCGCATCCAATAATTCACGCTTCAAACGACGTATTTCGTTGGCTTGTCGCTCCTCTGCTGAACCATACAGTGAGCTACCGCCAGAGAGCAGTGATGCGGCACTGCCGTGCACTACAAAATAAATAAATTATTTCATAATTTTAATACATTATCACAACACTAACACTATTTTATAAAATCACAAATAAACGATGCACACACTCACCTTCATCATTCTTCTTTGGATATGTGAGACGATGACCCGCTGTATTGCTGCTGCTACTAGCGCTTCCCGGCGCACCCACTAAGCCCATAATGCCTGGCATGCCAGTTGGATGTGTCGGCGAGAGCGTGGCACCAAAACCACGGCTGATTGGTGTTGGCGAGGTCGGTTGACTCCAGGCTACTGGTGCGCCTGTGGCGCCAGCCGTTGGCTGTCCAGTCACCTGTGACATTGCTGCCGCGGCAACAGCGGCCATTTGCGCTGATAATGAACCATTTTGTGCGGTTATTGTGCCTACTGGGAGGCAATAGTAGGGTTCGATTTCGACATCGGGACCGCGACTCAACATCGAAGGATACATTTTCTCCGACTTTGTGGATCTGTGGGTGAAAAGAGAGTGAGGGAGAAATGGTGTTAGTAGAATGTAATTTTTTTTTAAAGATTGGGTTTTTGAGAGCACATAGAAAGCAGTGATAAGCATATTTTTGAAGCAGTTGTAAAGATTTTATAAGCACCAAATGTTTGCGAGAACGAACAAATAAAGTAGGTTCAGAAAAGCATATCTACATATTTTTTTTTGAAATGTTTAAATACACTAAAAGTGTTTATAAATAATGTTTAAATATACGCTATTATGTACTATGCAGCTATACTTTTTTAAGGCAGTATTTGTTTTTTTTTTTTTTAAATGGAGTTTCATGCGAAGCAAGCTAATATTTATTTTACAAAAATTTACACTTTCAGTTTAGCCAAAATATGAAGTGAGTCTTGCGACACATCTAATTTAAGTGAAAATCCTAATTTCCGTCTGTCGCTAACCACAAAATTGAAAACCTTTTAACGCCAATTGGAGTCAATCTTCACCCATGTAGAACGGCCGGCCTGCCCGTATGCAAGCTCCCCTAGCTTATTAAACCGCAAGCATAGACATACATACATATGTATGTACCCAGCCTGTAGAGAAACGTACTTTTAGTGTAGAAGACAATTTCCATTTTTGTTAATTTTTTGCAATCTATTTTAAAACATAGTTAGTTGCAGCTTTTTTGACTGATATTCCATTCAAAATGATGCTCCAACTAACTTCAGAGTCGACTTTATTTTGACTATGAAAATGCCCCAATAGTTTAAAATATTTATTCAAACGGTAAATTTTAATGCAATTATACGTATTCGACAGTAGCTGTGTGTACAGAGGAGCATCCTACTATTTGTTAGCTTCCAGGAAGTCTGAGGTTCTAATGCTGTTAGACGCAACACATTAAAATTATATAAAAAGTAATTATTAAAATTGAAATAACGGCTTAATCTAAAATTGTTCTTTGTTTTCCTTTCTGGGAAGTTCAGAATGAAATCGTTTTGAATGGAAAATTTAGTCAGAAAAACAGCCGAGAACGTATCCGTTTCACAACTATTTGCGGTACTTTTCTAGTCATACGTTTCGGATGTACACTTTAGTGGAAGAATGGATCCGAAAAATGGCCGAAAACGGAATCGGCAAACGGATGAAATATCAGGTTTTTACACGAAATTGTTTCCATTTTCAGATACGTTTCCGAATACATAAGTTTTTGCTGGCTGGGTAATATGTATATGCATATGAGGCGTTCCATATCAAAACGGACGGGGTTCACACTTCATTTGTTTGATTTGTTTCAAATTTTTGGGGTAGATGAACAAACATTAATAATAAATAAGTATGAAATTTGAGCTTGATTAATACATTTTTAAAAAATTTACAGCGCAAAAATAAAAACAAATCGATTTATTAGTTTTCCAAATATCTCGAGAACGGGGTGAGAAAAAAATTATTGAAAAATTACATATACATACACACATTAAAATTCTAAATTTTTTTATCAAAAAATTTGTATGTGAAATATTTTTCAAGAAAAAATATTAAAAACTATTTCTTTTCATAAAGAGTTTTGATGTGTGTATGTGTGATTTTTGTAAAATTTTTTCCTCACCCCGTTCTCGAGATATTTGGAAAATCATTAAATCGATTTGTTTTTGTTTTTGTGCAGTTAAGTTTTCAAAAATTTATTAATCAAGCCCAAATTGCATATTTATTTATTATTTATGTTTATCCATCAACCCTAAAAATTTGAAACAAATCAAACTCATGAAGTGTGAACCCCGTCCATTTTGGTTTGGAACGCCCCATCTACATATGTATATATCGTCGCCTGGGTAAAATATTGTCGCAAGCGTCATACGTATGTGCGTAACATACGACAATCTTTTACCCAGGCGACGATATGCATATATGTTTCTGCTTAATATACGCAACGCAAAACGTAGCCCACTTATAGGATGCATGGAAAATCAAGCTATTTTTAAACACCACACAACCAACCATATTATAGCGGCGATCGCATAAACACACGCTAGCCTGTTTACACACAAATGCATTTCTAATGCCAGACGATTGCAAATTTCCGCTTGACGCCATTCATTTAACGTGTGGCGGAAGGCGGAAACTTGTATGGTGAAATTTGTAATGGTAGTGGTGGTAATACCTGTATCTACACATGTAGGAAAATGTTTCTAACATTAAATGTAGCCGCCTTCGATTCGCCAACACTTAGCGAGTGGTAAAACGAACGAAGTTAATGAGGTACAACCAAACTTGCCAACATGCAAACGCTCCTAGCCAACTTTGTTGTTGTTTTCAGATTAGAAATGGGCACGGGACTAAATATTCAATCCCGATTTCGTTCATTACCGAAACTCAAATTTTAAGAACCGAACCCGCCCACCCCGACGTCTTTCAGAATTGTACCGCGGTTCCCGTGGGTCCCGAAATCAATCGCTAAGAAAAATTCACGTCTCAAATTAATTTTAAATAATGAAAAAAAAATATTGTTTTCGTCTGAATAAAACATCAAAAAGAAGATTTTCTCGGGAGTGCCGGGAAAGGATATTGGTCCCGTCCCGCCCGCAAAATTTTTATGGACCTTCCCGGTACTGCCCATCTCGATATCCCGCGCTCATCTCTATTTCAGATACGAATTTTTCGTTAAACTAGCAGGGATGAATTCAAGGGAGCGGAGAAGTGGCGAATCGAGCAAATACTAGCAGTAGCCCCGAGCAATATATTAGTCGGCATGAATTGGTTGGAAAAGAAATTCAATATAAGATTGTTGCGGAAAAATTATGCATATTGAAAAAAAGGAGCCAAGGAATTGGGTGAACCAATTTCTTAAAGTCCAAGGTGAGTTACGACTCAAGATTCGTTGAGAAGATCTTAGCAACAGTTTCTGGACAACTAGTGGCTTTATAAAAGAAGAAACTTTACTTTTTCGATGCCCCCTCACACAGTCAAAAAATCCATTAAGAAAATCAGCAAATTACGCCATTAGTAAGACATTGCATACTCTGATCTCTCGTTCGGGGTCGATGTGTGGGCTCTAACAATTAAAATAAAGGATTCATATTTTACAGGCTTGTTCTTAACCTCATGAAACAATAGATATACAGTACCAGATTGACCGAACTTTGCCCGGAGTGCATATACTTTTTAAAGTTCTCAAGATTTGGATAGCTTTAAAAAAATATTTAGCAAAAAAAAAATGGATTTCGGTATCTTTCAAGTAAATTTCTTACTCCACAATTTAGGTGGCAACCCTATTCCGAAATACGCTGGAACGAATGGTACATATCTTGAGCGTATATGTACTGTGTATACATAAAAAATGCTGATTGAAATTAGCAAAATAAAAATTTGTATTACATAGAAGCGTAACAACCCTGACGGAAAATTTTTTCTAACTAAAGTTCTCAACAATACCTTTCATTTGATATCCATATTGCGACGTTTTAGATAAATTGTTTAGAATCGAAAATAGGTGGCAACCTTACATAACATTTTGTATATAGGGGAAGCATTGTTTAAGAACCTGCTCTTGGTACCCATGAATAGTAATATTTTACCTTTTTTTCTAAACAAAAAATTAAATAAACATGCGATTCAAAATAGGTGGGAGCCCTATTAAAAATATTTTTGGATGCGGTCCTTAAAATACCTTCCATTTGATACCCATATTATTATGTTTTAATTAATTTGTAACTAATTTCGAATAGGTGACAACCTTATATGAGTCTTCTCGGAGATAGTGCCTATTCAGATAACCTTAAAATCATAAATATTATCTGTGTACAAAATTTAATCGAAATTTTCGCCCCGCCCTAATACTATTTTTTAGCAAGCTTGGACTTTTGCTTTCCAATTTGAATGCAAGCAGTTCCCCCAGTACAGTAGAGAGAAAAATAGCCAAATACATTTAATAAGTTCTCTATTCGATGCATTAAACCTATGACGCATTTAACGTAAGTGACTATGTATATGCTTAAGTTTAATGCATCTGAAAGCCAAAGTAAAAAAAAAAAAACATTCCTTACGATGCTATACTATTGCAACTTTATCACAGAAATTCTTTTGTCATAATGCATCTGATTCCTTATCATTTTAAGAAAGAGAAAAAAATAATACCGATATTTATCTTATTTATGCCATATTTGCGAGTCATTGATGTTTCCTGCAAACAAGTAGATAAAAAACCAACTCAAGAGGGGAGTTTTTAGTAAACAACGCCAACTTTTCACAGAAGATCGAATGACTATAAATTAGACGAGAGCAGCTACTTTGCACTTAGTTGTTACTGAAGAAGTGTCAAAGGATATTGAAAGTGTTTAAGAAAAGAGAATCTTTAAAATTATTGTAGTAAAAAATTTCGACTATTTACAAAAGTGAAATGCTTTTTAAATTATTTGTGCTAATAGCACTTGGTGCGGTGTTGCAACAGAATGAATTCGCAAAGGCGGAAAATCGAAGTGAGTGATGTGTGAGGGAAAAGGAAACAATGCATAATATTTTTTAGAAAAACTTGAGTTACTCGCTGACAAAAAAAAAAGTGAAATTCTAACAACTTTCGAAAAACTTGGATTTATGGCTAAAGCTTAGAAGCTCAAGCTCAATAAAAATCACAATAAATATTTGTCATTATATCTGTTGCTTGAAAAAGCAAAGTTCCGTAAACATTCTTGAAGAAATAAATGTAGGAGCATTTTTTTTCTTGCTGCAACTGATTTAAGAAATTTTTATAGAAGAACAAATTTAAAAAGCGTTTGTTGCGTCAAACTTGATTATTTAGGGAAAAACTGGAATAGCTATTTTTATCGAAATCATTACTTATATTCTTATGCAGAATTTATCGATATAAATATCGATATTTTTATTAATAAATAATCGATATATTTATACTTATCGATATCGATTTTATATATGTATTAATATCTATCGATAATTTTGCTGATATATTTAACAATACAACTGTCAAAATATTTGTATCGATAAGTTGATTAAATATATCGATATTTCGACGCGTTTCATGAAATTTCGGATGTTATCGATAAAAAAAAAACAGATATTATGAAGATATGTTCCTTTCCAAAGTAAAAATTAAGGCAATATTGCAAAGTTCAATAGCAGTCGGACCCCAAGATGCAATTATCAAACCACCGGCGCGAGAGCTTTACTCATCAGTCAATAGCGTTGTAAAATCAATAATGAACTTGCTTACAAATTAAATCAATCGAACACTGATAAGCAATTGAAAAGATAAACAAATGTTAAAATGTTTCCTTACTGCATTCATATCTCTACTTACAGAACATGTCGTCTGCTATCATGGTACTTGGGCCACATATCGGCAATCAAGTGGCAAATTTGATGTGAACAACATTGACCCCTTCTTGTGTACACACCTGATGTATGCCTTCTTTGGCATTGAGGAGAATGGTGACATACGCATTATTGATCCCTACTTGGACTTAGAGGAGAATGGAGGACGTGGTAATATACGAAAGTTCAATGCACTCAAACTACAGAATCCAACTTTGAAGACGATGGCAGCGATAGGCGGTTGGAATGAGGGTTCGAAGAACTTCTCAATTGTAGCAAATGATCCCGAACGTAGACAAAGATTTGTGCGATCGGTGGTACATTTTATACAGCGACATGGTTTTGATGGCTTGGACTTGGATTGGGAATATCCAAATCAGCGACATAATTTGACTTTTGATGATAAAACCAACTACGTAACGCTGTTGCGCGAGTTGAGAGAGGGGTGAGTTGAAGAAAGGAAGCGAAAATTACAACGAGAAAGTGATATAAATGAAGAACAAATAAGAGGAAATAACTTTGGTTGTTGCTCTCAATTAATTTTTGTTATGAATTCTATAGCCTGGATCCCTTCCAATATCTGCTCAGTGCGGCCGTGGGCTCATCAGCGGATTCCGCTTCACGCTCATACGATATTCCTGAGGTTTCTAAGTACTTAGACATCATAAGTGTCATGGCATACGATCTGCATGGGCCTTGGGATCCCGTAACCGGTAACAATGCACCGCTGTACGAGGGACCCAACGATCTAACCGCGAAGAATAAGCAACTCAACTTAGAAGCCATAATCAAGTATTGGCTGGCACAAGGTAAGCACCCAAAGTACTCTCCTTTATTTAAAAACCCTCTTCACTACAACACTAATTTTAGGCGCACCGCGTGAGAAACTCGTCGTCGGCGTACCCTTCTATGGACGCTCCTACACTTTAGCGAACGCAGCAAACCACACTGTAGGTGCACCACATTTGGGTCGTGGCCTTGCCGGTCAATACTCCATCGAACCAGGCTCAATTGGCTACAATGAGCTTTGCGAACGAATGCGCACCGAGCCGTGGACTGTCGAGTGGGATGAGGCGCAAATGACACCTTATGCATATTTGGCACAACAGTGGGTGGCCTTCGAAAATCCACGCAGCATTAGCCTCAAAGCGCAATATGTGAAGGACAATAACTTGGCCGGTGTGATGTTGTGGTCATTGGAATCTGACGACTTTCGGGGCATTTGCAGCGGCGAGAAATATCCGCTGTTGCAAACTATCAATCGTGTACTCTTTGATGGTCGCACAGCGACAGGATTAACGCAATCCGTATTGAATTCGGTGGCGGAATCGATAAAGCGGCCGGAGGCGCCTGGTTATGTAGCGCCAACTGTGGTGGGTGGGGTGGATCAGCAGGGCATTGTGCCAAGGCCGCGTGGCAATGGTGAATGCGAAAATGTGGATAATGGTTATGTGCGTGCGGCAAAAGATTGTGGCAAGTTTTATTATTGCGAAAAGGGTGTGGCACACTCATTCACTTGTCCACAAAATTTGAAATTTGATTTGCTAACAACAAGCTGCAATTATCCGCAATTGGTGGAATGTTAGGCGATGGGAATTTATTGATGTGGATATTTATAGATTTGAAATTTTTTCTTAGAAACGAAAAAGTTATATTAGAAGTTAAAAATGCGGAGTGAATTAATAAAAGCGCTAAAACTCGCATACACAGACCTAAAATTTGTCATTTTCATTAGACAATGGAAATTTTCAGAAAAATTTGCACTAAAATATTTAAACTTATCTGCAAGCATATCTTTTTTCGAACTCGGTTTAGTGATTTATTTTTTTTGGCTAAGTTAGACCAATGATGTCTTTTGTTTCTTTTTATCACATTTCATTATGCCCCCAACCATCTTTCATTCAACACTCTGTATGTACTTTCCAGCGCTCCTATACATTCATAGACACTTTCTCCCACCGACACTTGCTGTTTTAAAATTAAACTAAAAATCTCATTGTACTCAACTTTTTCTACAAGCATTATTGCTTAACTGCACTTCATGTTCATACATATTTACATACAAAAAAAGGAAGCAAGTGTCAATATGTAAGTAGACCAGTCCAAGCAATTTTTCCACATAGTTTTGATTGTGTTAGCAGCTTTCTAACAACATTCTAGCAAACAGTAGCACACCGAGAGATATGAGCGCTAAGTGCATTGAGGGTATTCTTGCATGAAAACTCAAGCCCAGAAATCCTAGACATCAAGCTTTTTTGGAAGTTTTTTGGAAGACAAGTAAGCAAATCGTTAGTACGATTTAAAAATTTCCGCTTAGTTGTACCCTCCCGTCATTTGAATAGCGCACCATTTAAACCCTTAGTATTTACAGTTGCCCTTTTGTTTATTTAAAATCCATAAATTTTTTATAAAAATATAGCATATTCTACATGTAAATCCGATTTTCAAATTGTACACCAAATCAAAAACAAAAGTAAACAAAGGGGTTGCGCTATCCTAATGACCAGCAGTGAATGTGCTAATATTTTTTCTTACAGGGCATGAAATTCTAGTATACTAAAGCGCACGTTTCAAGTGGCTACAAAATACCGCTGATTTTTCCGATTGCTTTTCTGTCGACTGAGCTGGGCATTTTCTTCTATATAAAATTTTTGTCGAGCATAGTTTGTGTGGAAGAAAATGCATTACACTCTCAAAAAAAAAAAAAAAAAAAGTGAAAAGTCAACGGTATTTTGTAGCCACTTGAAACTAAAATTGCATGGACTACAAAGCTGCATACCCAAAATTGCTCTAAAAATATTATTACCCTATTCACTGCTGGACATTAGGATAGCGAACCGTTTTGATGACGTTCTTTTTTTTTTTAATTTGTATAACATATGAAAATCAGATTTACATGGTTTTTGTAATACTAAATAAACAAAAGGGCAACTGTAAATAAACACTAAGGATTATAAGGGTGCGATATTCAAATGACGAGGAGTGTATGTTTTCGTTGTTCGGACCAAGATCTTTCTGATCTGCAACCAGTTATCTCATTGCTGGCTTCGGCCATCAGGAATACTTTCAGAAATTGGATGCATATTTCAATCAGCAATGTTTGGGAGGCATAGAAGTGCTGCAGTTGAGCTAAATACGTGCGTGCTGCAAACTTAAGAGTGACGGACAAATTTTGAGTGTAATGGCTGACCATTTACACAACCTCTGTGGTAGGCTTATTTGACAACCCGAGGAGAGGCAACCTGCCTGGAACAGCCTGAGATTGAGCACAACTTTTTGTGATTCTGCCCCGACTTTGCAAAGCTTTGTTGTCTTAAATAAAAGTTCGATTTTTTCAGTATAAATTATAAAGAGTAGAAAATTAGTAATCTAACGAATGTTAATCAAAAGATGTAGTCTTTAATCCAATTTGAAATTAGGTAGATAACGGTAATTCCACAACCCCCTGCGACCCGTAAATTAATACCGTTTTCTTTTCTACAATGAAAACGCAAATTTTTTTTGGAAATGAAGACGTCATAAATTGCATTTTAAGACGAGTTTGTTTGCTTCAGAATTACTTTCATGCATGAATACCCACATTGCTTAGAGAAGTTGTGCGTGAGCACAAATTTGCATATTTCCCGTGTTTTGTGCATAGTGAAAGCGTTTATGTAAATTCTTTAGCGTATACAGAATGCTGAAGTAGATGTATGTAGAACTACATGCATACATAACGCACTCAGCGTAAACTTTCGACCGCAATGATATGAAGGGCTACTAAGGGCAAACATATCGCACACCTAGATCTAAAGTGAGCTAACTCAAAATTCATAGAGTGAAATTTAACTGCTTGTGGGTCGTAAAGATTCAAAACAATTAATACAAAAACAGGTATAAGATAAGTTTTTTAGTTAATGAATATAATCATGAGGAAAAAACATTTTCATTAATTGGATGTAAGTCATATGAATTGATTTATGCAAAAAATGGCCTAAATTTTTTTTGAGTTGATCGCACTTTAGATCTAGGTGTGCGATATGTACACATGTATGTCCATGAGTGTGCTACGCATTAAAAGAAAAGCGTCCTATCGTCAATTCTATGTAACTGAGTTTTTAAGATTATTTTAAGAATAGAGATTTTTTTTTGCTTTGTTTTATAATTTTTCGGAATATTTGTTCAAATGTAATTTCCGATAAAGTCGTTGATGAAAAACTTCGAAGAATGCGCAGGACCGCTCGCGATATGAATGAATTCATACATATTTTGTCAATAAAATATTGTTAACTTAAATTTTACGTATAAACTAATTAATATTTGAAAAAAAGCCAAAATATTTTTTTCAAAAGATCATTTATTAAAAAAAAATTATTTTAAAAGCTCTATGTAAATTGGGTACGAAAAAAATTTTAGAATTTTTGCGAATCAAATTTGCATGCTTTTGGGCAATTTATAAAATGTCCAACAAATCATCAGAAAAGTCATATGAATAAATAAATTTCCATAACGTCCGACGTCAACTGCTCGTGTGGATGGATATATTAAAATGATTCACAAGCACCATAACGCATACATACATACATCATATGGCAAATTTGCATACAGCTGCGCACACACTGCAAATGAGAACCAGTTGTGTACAAAATCGCCACGGCAAAATTGCCTGCATAACGCAACAGTACGTACATACAAACGCACTGAAACTTTAGGCAATCATTGACGAAACTTTTGTATGCATTCATTCGTTCAGATATTCAACAACTGTCCAGAAAATAGCTACATATTAGAGATGTGTGCGCGATATCGGGACCCGTGGGACCCACTTTTTTATGTTTATTAATACGACACGAACAGCAAATCAAATCCCAATAATCAGAAGATGCCAGATCTTTATTTTTTATAATAATTTAGAATTAATATGAAAGTAATGTGAATTTTTCAAGTGATAGATTTCGGGATCCGCGGTACAATTCGGAAAAACTTCGGGATGGCCGGGATTTTGATTTAGTCCTCTGCCCATCTCTACTACATACATATGTACAGCTGCTGGAGCATTCACTCAAATTTGTTTTTGTAAATATGCCGCATCTATCAAATTTAAATGTGGCTACGTGTATCGGTTCATCATACGCCCTGGCAACATGCTGACTGCTGTTATGGTGTAAGTAAGTGCGCTTTTGCTGCTGCTGAATTTCATATTTGCATGTGGAATATACATTGCCGCTTTGTTAATTTTGGACCAAAATTGGTAATTTTTTCCTTTCTTTACCGAATTTGGTAAATTTTTTTTGAACTTCATATGAGGAGAATTCTATGTAATGTATGTGGGGGTCGTCTAAATCTTTCAGGACTATCTTCAAACTTTTTTTTTTGATACTTTCGACTACTTGTATGTATGTACATTAGGGTGGTCCAAAAACAGTAAACTCGGAATTGTAATGCCCTCACCCCCTAGGATTGTTCTATATCGAAAAAAGTATACCCCTATTTTTTTTATTTTGAAATAAAAAAATATTTAGAGGTCGCTCAAAGCGCTCAAAGTTTTGTATGTATTTTTATATGGGGAAAAACAACTTCTCGTATAAATGGTATAGAATTCTTGAAAACCAATATTTTTCGATCGGAAAACTCGGGTTCTCTTTAGGAGACTTTCAGTAATAAGACCCAATTGTTTATTTAACCATTTTTTAATACTAAGGATTTTTATTGGTCCCCCCATTGAATTTTTCGGGGTTTTTGGCGGACCCATAAATTAAAGTTACGATGAAAAAATGGTTAAATAAAAATTTGAGTATTATTATTGGGAATCTGCTGCAGACAAATTGAGTTCTCTCATAGAAAAATATTGATTTTTAAGAATTCTATACCATTTCTACGAAAAGTTGTTTTTTCCCCATACAAAATACATGGAAAACATTAGGCGCTTTGAGCGACCTCTAAATATTTTTTAATTTTTGAAATAAAAAAATTGGAATAAATTTTTTTCGGTATAGAACAATCCTAGGGCGTGAGAGCATAAAAATTCCGACTTTACTTTTCCCACGTGTATTTTTGGACCGCCCTAATGTACATACATATATTGGCCACAACTGGACAAATGTAGGTTTTGGTTTTCGGAACTGCACGAGATTTTTTGGAGCACTTTAGGAACATTCGGAATTACTTTTCGACATTTCGTGTTCAATTAGGGAACTTTGGGAAATTTTTATGACTACGAGTGTTATTTCGAACTTATTTTTGAGGATTTTCTAGACTTTTTGAACATTCTGAAGTCTATCGAGAACTGCTGTATAATTTTTATAAAAAAAGGCAACGATTATCCGTTTCCCATTATGCGGTCGCCCCACGGCAGGCAATGGCAAACCTCCGAGTGTATGTATTTCTGCCATAGAAAACAGCTCCTCATAAAAAATACAATCGTCGTTCGGAGTCGGCGTAGCAACGTATGTAGGTCCCTTCCCTTTGTGTGACAACATCATGACGCACGCCACAAACCGTAGGAGAAGTTCGGCCAAACACCAACTTGTGTAAGCGCCAATCTTTTATTATTATACATATATTGGTTACAACTGGACAAATGTTGATCTTCAAGTGCTCCAGCGTTCGAGGTTTATTCGCTTAAATACGGTCATCCGAGTAGCCTCATAAAACAGTCCAACGAAGTCAAGTCAGATGATCTCGCTGGCCAAGTGACATTCCCTCTACGGGAAATAATGCGCCTGATAATTCTGTGTTGAAAAAAATTTTGTGGCAACACTGTACGGAATGCTATTAGTGTCAGTACATCAGACACATATCAAACACCCTATTTGTAGACGTTTAAGTATTACAGATATTTATGAAAAAAAATAAAAATATTTCTCATCCGACAGTCGCATAATTTTTCCTGCACGGCTACTAATTTTCTGCTGTCATTGCGCTTCTTTTCATTCATTTCTCAGCGCCAACGCTCACGTACAAACATACTTAATATCCATACATATGCTCGCCCGTGTACAGCTTTACCGACACACGCGTTTGCACTTCCTTCATTTATCCTTCATTCATTCTTTTATTAGCCACTAACTAACTGCAACATTTTTTCTTCAACTTTTTTCTGCTCTGTTTTGTTGGTTGCTGTGGCAATTTTCGTTGAAATTATTATAACTATAATACATACATATACACACTTATATTTATCATCTCATTTTCCACTTTACAATTTATTTGCTTGGCATTCATTGGCTAACGAGTTTCATGATGCTTAATTTCAGTAAAAATAAATAGCTGTTGGCAATTCAGTGGTGGGTGGCGCATGTGCGGAGTTGAATGCATCTGAGTAAATTAAGTATGCAAACTTATTGTATTTAAATTAAGTTATTAATGATATCACGATGGTAAATGCAAATAGCTTTTAAGAACAAAAATCAAAAGTTTAGTGAACTGCCCACCGAAGCTGTTGCTGGAAAATTTAATATTTACTACATATCGTCACCTGAAATGAAAAAGACGTAACATCATCGTAACTGAAAAGTCGTGGCTAAAATTTTTTTATTTTTTTTCATTAGATGACAACTCCAACGTAATTCGATGAAATTCATCATATCAATCAAAAACTGAATTTTGAATTTTTTATTAGTTACGTCTTTTTGTATTTCAGGTGACGATATAAAGATTTAGTAAAATGGAAGAGGTATCAAAAAATTATACAGCTATGACCCTGTCACAAGATATGTATGTGTAAGAAATATAATGTTTACAGGTACCGATCCCTCACTATTTTTGGAATTTGTCAGAGATTCGTAATGGAGATGTTTAGTAACTTTCTTCCAGATTTCAAGTTTCAAGATTTTTCGGTATTTTCTTGGAGTTAATGATGTTTCCGGGAGGTTTCGGGGCTTCTCTGAATTTTTCCGACACTTCTCGAGGTTTGGTTTGTAATAACTCCGGGAATTTCTGCGATTATTCGTGTACTTGGAAATTTTATCTGAAAATTTCTGAAAGTTTTCAGGTTCAGTGGTACATTTACATGATCATTTTAAATATCACTTTCTTGTTTTAAAAAATTTCACACACTTTTTTTCAAAATAAAAAAAAATTCTGATTTGAAAAAGTTTGAAATAGTATGTACCCAAATTCCACATACACTGCCGGCAAAAAGTATTGGCACACCTGCTTTTTTACAATGTATTCAAAAATTTTTATTGTAATACTTTTCCGACATTTTTTATATAAAAATATGGTTCATTCTACAACAACAAAAAAATAAAATATAATTTCTAAACTTAGTGCAAAATTTCCGAAAAATTCAGCAAATTTCCATGCAAATTTTAAACTTTTTAATCAGATTTTTTTGATTTTTTTTTGAGTATGTATACAGATTTGTAGCCCAATCAATAATGTATAGTAATCGAAAAAATGCATTGCATGCACTTGCATTTTTTATACTAGAATTCAATGGGGTACAAAACTGCATACTCAAGAAAAATCGAAAAAAATGTAATTAAAAAGTTGAAAATTTGTATGAAAATTCATTGAATTTTCGCGAGTTTTACGCAAATCCTAGAAATTATATTTTCGTGGTTTTGTTGTAGAATGAACCATATTTTTATAAAAATTTAGCGGAAAAATATTGAATAGAAATTGGTGCATATATTGCTGTGCCAATACTTTTTTCCAGCAGTGTACTTACAAATGCCATATTTTTTTTGTCTCTGATTAATAAGTAACCTTACTTGATTCTGTAGACAATTAGACCAGCAGACAATTATTAGATAGTAAATTTTTAAATTTTCGAGGCTTTAAAATGCATAAAACAAAGTGGTATAATCGAGAGCGTGGCACTAGCTATCCCAGCCGAAATATTGAAGTGGAGCTGGTGCAGCCCAGCTAACTTGAAGAAATTGCGTCGACAAGACATACAGAGGAACATGCTAGCTTATTTCACCCCCGGCGTAAGATGAAAAAAAAAAAAAAAGCTGTTACACACGTCAAACATATTTTGGTATCAGGAATGCCAAGGCTGAATCCGCCAAATGCAAAAAAAAAAAGTCAAAAATTTTTAATGGTACTCCCCCAAACGGTTTATTGATTAAGCCATTCTCCTTTCTCCTACAAAGTTCGAATTTCACCAAAATTGGTGAATTCTCCCCCTAGTTGGCATCCCTGTATGGTGTGTAAATCACAGTAAGTAGACCATTTGCAAAGATAGGATAAGATTACAGCATAAAGTGATTCAGGTTGCATATAAAACGACGCGATTCAAGGGTACAGCTGACAACTCTGGTCCACTTAATCGACACTCTGTGCCAGACCACAGAAATGTATAACCCTGCTGAAGGGGAAAATGCGCTAGAAGTATCTGCATAGGAGTTAGTTAGGAAAAAATCTATGAAAAAAACGAGATGCTTGGAAGGACATGGAATTTGCTGATCGCCTTTCTAAAAGTGAATGGAAAAAAATTCTCAGGTCGGGGCAAATCAATTTTGGAACAAAAGAAATAAAGCAAATTAAAAAATAAACCTATGTATTGTACATATGTGTTTGAAAAAATCCTGATGGTAGAAAGTACTTCGTAAATAAATTAGCTAGGATCCCTATTGGAACGCGCACTCGCTTCAAAATATATTTTCAAAGGTCTGCTGAGAACTATAGATGGTAATGTAACTCACTTAGGAATACAAAAAGTACGAACAGCTAACAAAAAAGTTAAATGAACCAAATCCAAAGCAAATATAATAAACTATATTACATCAATAAGAATATCTAAGTAGTGTAGTATTGTAGTAAGAGTAGTGAACACAACGATATATAACTGCATTTATGAGATGATACATTTTGAAGCGCAAGAAAAGATTATTTAGCAGAAAGTAAAATTTTTTGTTTTAGAAATTCAACGCAATTATTTCAAAACTCAAATGTATGCAAGCATATTAAATCTTAATTTTATAAAAAGCTTAAGCGGAACACCAAAAAAGCGCACTAAAACGAATTTATTTTTCACCTTGGATATGTCCTTTCTTTCAAGTAGCTTTAGAGGAGTTAAAAAAGTTAGAAATTATAAAACGGTGGCATCAAAAATTTTCAAAATGGTAAAGCAAGCAATTTTTGTTTTTTTTTTTTTTTTTTAACGAGATTAAAAACGAAAAAATTTAAAGCATAAATTCACTTATGTAAATAAAATCTTCAGTTCACTCACCTTATGCTATTGCTCCGATTCAGTCGTGGACTTTGCACATACGGCGACTCACTGCCCGCACCGCCCATGCCTGCAGCGCCACCGCCTCCTCCCTGTGGCATTACACTCGCCGCCGCTGCTGCTGCCGCTGCGGCTGCTACTGCTGCGGCAGCATTACGATGTTGCAACATTTTGTGACTATGGCGTGTCATTGCCGGTGAACCAATTTGCATATTCTCCAGTGAATCGCCCTCAGAGAGACGACTGCCAGCGGTATTGCTATGCTTTAGCCACATGGCATATGTGCTGTATTCGGGCTTTACCTCGGCATAGGTTTGCGTGTCCGACAATGAGCCATCGATCAATTTGCCAGGACGATTGGATATTCTGAAAGGCGAATGGGAAATACATATTTCATGTGCACAGAACTATTTTTTGCTTGCATTAATGCTTTATAAAAAGTGTAGCTGTGGATAATTCATGGAGTTATCGTAATAAATTAGTAAAATAATCGCAATAAATGTCTACAATTAGTGGTGTTTAACGGCAATTAGTTAGCCGCATATGTTGATATAGGGTGTATCAAATTATACAACTTTTCTTTAAAGGACAAGCTTGCACATACAGTGACAGTCACTTGAATAGCGCCGCCTTTTGATCCTCAGTATTGAGAACTTTCCTTTTGCTTATTTAATTTTCATTAATTTTAAATAAAAAGAACAGAGCATATTATAAGTATAATCCGATGCTCAAATTTTATACAAAAGTTATAAAACCTACTGCAAATTTGTTTTTCAAAATTTCAAACAAAAAAAATATTAGAATTTTGAGTTTTATAACCCGTAATTTTTAGTATAAAAGATGCAAGTTGAAAACAATCGCGTTGATTTTGAAAATTATTATAAATCTTGTATGAAGCTTGAAAATTGGATTTACAAATATGCTACATATTTATAAAAAATCAATGAATATTAAATAAACAAAAGAAAAACCTGTGGCCTGTTTTTTGTTTATTTTACTTAGATTAGTTTTGTTTACTTAAGTTCTCATTGTATTATTTTTTAATTTAATTTAGTCTCCTTACACTATTTTTCGCTATGAATTCAATAATTTTGAGACACCCTATAGTGAACCTGACTCGCGTCAGACATTAAGCATAATTAGCCAGTGGTGCAAAAACACATTAGCGGTTAGCATGGTTGCAGCACATTTATGCTTTTGCTAAACATTAATTTTAATATTTATTTTTAAATTTTATTTATCTTAAAATTTTGTTGGCGCACATTCCGTTGACGATAAATTTAATTTTGCTGCATAGAAAATTTTGCTCGGCATTTTATGTCTGTTTCTCTTTTGATGCATCATTGTGCTGGATTTTGTTGGAAAACAAAAATTAAATACATTTATTTTGAGCAAAGAAAACCACAATATTTGTAGTAATATAGTATGTGTGCACATTAGGGTGGGCCAAATTATTCGGACAAAAGTTTTTGCACAAATCGTATGGTATTTTCGGTTTCTATAGATAATTCTAGGAGAAAATGTAGAATAAACTATAAGTCAGAGATGAGTTTCTAGCACGCGCATTTAAAAAAAAATCTCTTCACTTTTTACTTTTAATTAATTTTTTAAGTTTAAAATTCACAAAATGGATATATTTATGTACTTTTTATACATGGTTTAATTTTGTTTATGCGCATACACTCAAATATTATAATTTTACATTACAGTGTTTAATTTGTTTCATCAGTTGCAGAACAAAACTACCCGCACTGACAGCTAACAGAATTTTAAACAAAAAAATCGGAAAGGATGAACATTTGTGCTAATGAATAAATAAACAAATAAAGCAAATGCAGGAAACTAAAATGCAGACATTTTATATACAAAAGTTAAAAAAAAAGTAAAAAAAATAATATATCGTGAAAAGGTATTTTTTTCAAAAATGCACAGGCTCGAAACTCATTTCCGACCCATTGGTTTCTTCTACACTTTCTCTTCGAATTATTTGGAGAAGCAGAAAATACAATACGATTTAGTAAAAAAATGGCCTACCCTAATGTACAAGCATAAAATAACTATTATTTCGGACTCATGTGTGCCGCAATGCAGTAATTATGTGGGCAATGAATTTGTGAGAGATATCAAAGGCTATCCAGCCACCTCACAAATTTTGATTATTATTTGGCTAATTAATAGTAAAGTTTATGATTGGATTTGAGGTAGAGGAAAATGAATGGGCCTCTAAGGATACTAGCGATAATAATTCCTATTATATTCTGGATTAGAGAGATTATTTAGCGTTTTTGCTGCGCTTGTTAGGGAAAATTGCCTCTTTACATATACACAGTACACCGTATCACCTTACAAGCAAACAAAAAAAGTTCAGCGTACACCTTTTATTTAAAATAATTTTATAAGACAATTTCGAAAAAAATATTCTACTGGAATAATACAAATACTTTCTAAGCAAAAGTTCAATGATTATTGGACAGCTGTAATATACTCACATTAGGATGGTACGTTAGGGTGAAAGGAACTGAGATCTGGTTGGTAAACTAGAACGGGGTAAAAAGGCAAAAAAAGTCCAAATTTCCTTCGAATCGAAATACTTCCTTAGCAAAAGTTTAATGGTTTTCGACGAGCTTTAATTTACTGGCATTGGGGTGGTAGGAACTGGGATCTGGTGGGTAAGTACTTGGAATTGCCTGACAAAAATACTTTAGATGAAAGGATGTACGGCGAACTTTTTTCCTGGTACGATCTAATATACAGATACATATAGGTATAGATAACTTTTCAAAGAATTTTTCGTTACGAAATTGAAAAATTTTTAACTTCAGTTAAGATGTGAGTTAAGTTCTCAAAATGTTTACTTACTACTAGAATTGATGATAGAATGTGTGGAAAACAGATACCAATTAGCTCTTACCTATGCTGAAATAGATGCAAATCCGTGCCCGGTTTCGGTAAACTATGAGAACCAGTAGCTAGACGTTCACGTATCGATTGGCTTAACTGGGTAGCGCCGGGACCAGTCAAAGAAAAGCTGCGATGCTGAGCGCTGGGAGGAGCTTCTGGAAAATTTAAAGTTTTTTTATTATTAAAGTGTAGGTAAAACTATAAATAAATGACTGTTAAGTAAGAAAGAAGTTAATTCTAAATTCGACAAAAAAATAACATATGAAAGAAGAAATATCTTATTTCTAAATACAAAATTGAATCTGTGGGCTCAACAACGATACAAGTCCAATATCAGTCTTTTGTTATTAAAATCAAAAACCGCACAAGTCACGCACATACACCGCTTTTCTACTCATTTCACGAGTTCAATCAGCTGTGCTACGTGGACGGCTAAGTATCTAGTATGGTGACATGCGAGAGAAAATACGTACATGTCCGTGATTTGAACGGGTTTTGATCTTAACAAAAAAAATTATTTTGGACTTGAACGGTTGTCCAGCACACCGATTCAATTAGTGAATAGTAACGCGTAAAATTTCGCTAAGTTACAAAAAACAATCTAAAACTATCTCACATGCGAAAATGCATATCGGACCTTTATATGAAAAATTCTAATAATTTTTTTTCAGTGTGGTTTTGGTAGGCTACCATGAGGAAATTTATAAATTATAAAATAAAAAAAAATGTAAGCAATTTTTTAAGTCTAATAAATTCGGCTCAAAAAGCTTTAAACTATATTTGAACACCCAAATTCATAAAAATAAAGAAGATTTTAAGTGCTTTATATATCGAAAATTTGCATCGAAATGTCCTTTATAAAGTTTTTAATCTAATTTTTTTATTAGTAAGGTCAAACATTTTTATTATTTTTCTAAATCATTAACCGGGTTTTTGTGTATTAAGATAACGACATTTATGAACTTCTTCGTATTCCTTATTTAAACGAAATATAAAAAAAAAAAACATTATTTCGTACTCAACTCACTTGACATATCGTTGGGCAGCGTTTGCGTACCGCCCGACACCTTCCGTCCGCCAGCACCACCACCACCACCACCAGAGGAGGCAGTGCGTGGCACCGCTGATACATGCGCTGTACGACCCATGCCACCGCACATGCCACCCGGCGAACCGGCAGCACCACCACAACCACCATTTGCTAGACCACCACCGCCGGCACCCATCATTGCTGCGCCCATCATTGCTATATTTTGTTGCTCTGCCGTTGCAGTAGCACTGCCATTGGCACGCTTGACATAGCCAAAACTGGGCGGTACACCCTTTGTCCGACCGGACGGTGAACCCTGCTTGGAAGAGCTGCCACTACCGCCGCCCATGCTGCGCCTTGAAGGCGATGACTTTTCAGATTTCTCGCCTTTGTTATGGCCATGGCCATTTAGTGGCTCCGGCATTTTCGTCCAGTTATCACGCCCATTACGTGAATTCGAGCGATGTACGCCCACAACGCCGGCATTGGAATGGTGCGCATGTTGCGAATGCTGATGTGTGTGATGTTGTGGGCTGGCATTGGCGCTGGTATTGCCAGAGCCGCCGCCGCCGCCGCCGCCGCCAGCACCGCCGCCACTGGCGCTGTCCATTTTTGGATTTGAGCCACCGCTCGAGCTGGCCTGTGAGGCAGCAGATGAAGGTGGTGCGGTGCCGATGCTATCGAGACTGCCACGGCTGTTACGAATGCTGAAAAGAGGCAGAAAGGGAGAAAGAAAATTAAAAATTCGTATTGACTATCGAGTTTCACAAACAAAAAATTGCATTTATGTAATTAAAAAAATATTTGCACATAAACTTCCAAGCAGGGCTTGACAATAAATGAACCTATTCATGAAATTCGATTTAATTAATCTCAAAAAATAAAAATAAATTTGCTAAAACTTTTGCATTTGCTTAATTTTTCCCTGCATTCAATTCAAAGCATTTCAAACTTCTTATCAGCGCATTTTCAATTCCCATCACACAACTACTTTGCCATTTTTCTATTTATTCAAAGAGCACAGAGTTGGCTGATTCATTGTACAAGCAAATATTTGCATTTATATGAGTTTATATGCTTGCAAAAAGAATCACATACACTACACATAAGTACATATTTTAAGTATTTACTCAGAGGTCAAAAGCTGCAGCCAGTGTTGTTGACACTGCACTGCCTCGCATTGCATTCGCGAATTGTTGTAAGCAAGCAAACAACAGCTGCAACAGCGGCAAACAAAGGAAGTCAAATACCCCAGCTGGTACGTCTGTCCGTTCGTGCGATCGTAGCGTTCCCACCGCTTGCATGGCGCCCTTATATACATATGTACATACATACATACATACATAGTATGGGATATGCCTTATTTATTTTTGTTTTTGTAAAATTTTCATTTGGCGAATATGCCTAGTGGCACAGTTTAAAACATTTGCATTTGTTATTGTTGTCATGGCAACACAACTGCCTACAATGTGTTAAGTATCGATTTAATTTTTTTTCGCGAACTGCAGAAAAAGGAAAAAAAACTATGTACATACCCTGCAGGGAGTGACGTTAGCTTATACCTAACTTTAGTCTGTTTACGCGAACACTAGTGCTAACTATTAACTGTGTATTTTGTTCGAAAAAAGCTAACTACTTTTGTGGGGCGATGGCCGCAAAAAAGTCAGACCTGGATACCTCTGCATTACATGTCAACTAACTTGTAACTAACTACTTTTGGACATAAAATATCAATAAGAAAAACAAAATATTTTTTTGTTTTTTTACTTTTTTATTTACTTTATTTTATTACATTTCATATTTGTTTACATATTCTGCTCTGGGTGGCCCCATATTCGAACACCGTCAGACATAACTTCAAAATGATAGTATAAAATTTCGATCTTCCTTTTATTTGTCCTGAATATGAAAAAGAATCTGCGAAGTTCCGGAAAAAAGTGTATTGAAAGTAATTTTTGTATGAGGATATTTAATAGAAACTTGTAAAGAAAACCAACTCCCGATTGCGTCTGCATGACTCCTGCACGACTTTACAATTCACTTTAAGTTGGTTTTGTCATAGCTAATTAAAAGTGAGGTATTAATCGAAATCTCGCCAAAAAGCTAACTATAAGTTGGTTAGTTTTAACAATTGATAATTTTTCACTGCAGGGTATGTACAGTATGTTGGGAAAATTTAAAATAAAAATATTTTTTCAATGGTATAGAATGAGTTCGTTGGAAATAATTGGACACTACTTTTCATTACCTTCTGTATTAGGGTTACTCTAATTTTTAAAAACTAAGTTGATATATAGGCACCAAATAAATTTGTCTACATCTGCTGTGAGGAAAGTTTAGTGGTAGGTACGAAAGCTTGAACTTGAGATCTACTTATATCTATATTTAACATCGAGGCTTGAATCAGAGATTTCACCGCCCTATCCTTCTTTGAGAAGGGGCCCAGTGGATTCTAGCACCGACGTGCAATGATCAGGGACCGAAATTAACCGTTAAATATCAATTGCGTTTTTATGACCGATTTAAATCGTTTATGACCTATAAAATTAAATATGAAAATAACGGTAATATAATTATCGAAAGAATTAAAACCATAAAATAAATTGACCGAAAAAATTAAAATCCAATTTTAACAGTTAAATTATGATTTATTCTATAAAGACCATAACTGTTATGGTCCCTGACAGTGATAGATCCTGGCCGGATAAAATTCAAGTTTATAGAATAATTTGAGCCTTCGTGACTTGTGCTAGTAAACCAACTTCAGGGACATCAAATCTCGCATCCGCCTTTCTACAACAGTACAAGCAGGGTTGCCATTTTGATAAATTGTTACTAAAATTGGTAGAAAAAATTTAGGCTGGCAAAAGGGTAAATTTTTTTATATTTTGGTATATTTTTTTTAAGTATTTTGTTTGAAAAATAAATATAAATTTTCGTTCCCGCTTTATTTTTCGTAGCTGTCTTTATATTATAAATTTCTTTCCAAAAGTGTAGTATACTTTATTGCATTAAGTTTCGAAAGCTTTAAGGCACACTTTTCATATAAACACAGATGTATGCATAGCGAGAAAAAGCTTATTTTACTAGAATCGTTGGGAGCTTTTGATTGCCTAAATATTTTAAAGGAATCTTTAAATAAGAAGAAAAAATGTGCACGATTGTTCGCAAAAAAAAGCCAACGCCAGTTTTTATAAATGGCAATTGTTAAATGCGAAAAAAGCCTTCGGGAAATATTAGCTGGACATACCCAAAAAAGTTCTTAAAATTCAGAGTAAAAAGTTCAAAATTTAGACGAAAAATTTTTCATTTATTTTATTTTTATTCCTTGATTTTTAAGGGTTTACTTAAAGCGCAACCATATTCTTATACAACAAAAAGTTCCTTGATACAAATTTTTATTTTTTATTGAAATAACTAAAAAATAGAACAAAAGAAGTTATTGGTAGATATTTTCCAGATTTGGTAGTTTTTTTTCAAGTGGTAAGTATTTTTTCTCGTCAGTGGCAACCCTGAGTACAATGTCACTTTCGCTCACCTTACGCTTATACCCTCATAGGATAGCCTGTTGTTTAGGATAGACTTTATAAGAGATCGTTCGCGGAATACCGCTGCTGGTAGGACCATATCAATACTGGTCTTATTTCGGAACTGTAATACGCCTCTCATGATGGGTCGGTTCATAAATTCTTAGTTGAACAAAAGTAACAAAGTTCACCTAGAAGTAAAAGTTTATTAAAAATCCCTCTCTAATATGACTCCTAACGCGGACTCATATTGGCGTGCTATTTTCTGACTATTTTTTTGAGGTCACAATGAGGGTTACAACTCAGAATATTGAGACCTTTCTGAGGAAAGAGGAAGCGCTTGCCAATTTTTTTCGATTCCAAATTCGTTTCTTAGGTCAATACATTACCACAAGAATAAATTGCTGGGTATCTCATGCGCAAGTAGTTTTGTTGAGTACCATGCTCATAGAAATATTCTAAGGCAAACATGTTGTGCTCATATTGGCAGCTCTACGAACGCTGTGCATCACGCTCTAGAGAAGTAGAAACACCGAAATAGGGAAGCACTGCCACGCCGATGGATAGCTAAAGATGATTATTAAAAATGGCTGAATAAGCTAAAAGTATTTCAGTAAGCGTAGATGACGGTAATGTCTTAAACTATGGGCGTATACTTTAAAAAAATATAGGGGCATAGTCATCTTTGAAATAAAGGCGGATATACCCAGTAAGCTTTTGGGTTGGCGATCAAGTCGAGCTCCAATAAAAATTCTAAGGTTCAAGTATACCTCAAATGGAGAACCAAAAGCTTGGATATCATTTTGAATTAAATCTTTATTCAACTTTTAGTCAAGTCTGGGGAAAAATGTTGGAGAAAAAAGTTTTATATCCACTTGAGAATCAAGAATTGCTCAAAGATTGGAAAAATGTTTGCTTTCCGCATATACGGTAAAATTAGTTGCAGCTTTTTGACATAATTTTCAATCGAAATTTCAAAAAAGCTGCAACTAACTCTAGCGTCGACTTTACTTGCGGCTATGATTATGCCCATAGTGACGAAGTTCTATTCAAGTACGAACACCCCTACGAGTACTATTTTTAGCTCACTACTCTTTTTTTCTCAGTTTTTATTTTTATTCGTATTGCTTAATTGGTAGATATCAACAGGCCAAAAAATTGTATGCCTTGCAAACATTTTCCTCTGTCATAGTTGACATATTTATGGGTGTATTAAATATAATTTATTATCATACTATACGCTTGATGGCATATTTGTACTTTGCTAGCTGGAGCATTGAACTCTTGACTTATAATATTAAAGAGAGCTATTTGTACAAACACTTTGACCATTCTAACGAGTTTATGCAAAATATAACTGTGCAAAAAAGCTCTCTACACGGAATATATTTATTCTTATCCTCCGCTTGTAAATAAGGGCAACACCTGATTTTAATTAAACAACTTTTTAAGTTCAGTACCGAATTCGAAATTGCTAGTGCGGAATTGCTTTAATGGAAATTACTTAAAATCTGAAATTCTCCAAAAGATGTCCTTGTACCAAATTAAGTTTCTTCTTATTCCGTTTGCTTGTATTATTTTCAGTATAGATGAGCATATCAAATAATGAATTATACTTATTTACTTCATAACCCTTTGCAACTGCATTTGCGTTGATAATAGCGAAAATTTCATTTCAATTGAACAACTCAAATAAGAACAAAACATTCACTCAGTACAATCAGAGCGCTGAATTCAAAGGATATGCAGTTATGCAAATGGTAACAGCTTACACACAGCCATTGCAACAAAACTAACAAAATATTAGCAGCGATGGCTGAAAATCAAGGGAATATGGAAATCGTTTAATAATGAAATTTCGCAAACATACATACATATGTATGTATACTTAGAAGCAAAAATATTCGAAAAAGAAAGAGAAACGACAAACGATCGATAAAATTATAGAAAAATTAGCAAAAAATCGAAAGATGGAAGAAGAAGATAGAGAAGCTCATTGATGTTTGAAGGACCAAGAAGTTTGGCAGACTGGAGCGTTATGTCTGCTAGTAGCTGACGAGCAATTAAGTGTTGTGCAGTCAGTGAAGCGCTGACTATGACTAGACTGATGGGAGAGCAAGTGCAGGGAAACGGATGCTATGGATGCCATCATGACGAACACACAAATATCAAAACTAAAA